ATCCTAAAAAATTAAAATTGAATTTTTTTTTTTTTTTTTTACGTCAACCTTCTTTTATTTATGAAAAAACAAAGTAGATAAATGCTTACCCGTATAAGAATGTACTGATTGAAAGATTGAATGGGCCAAAATAATACGATGAATTACATAATATAGTATCTCTCTCGTTGACTCATGAAATTAGTAAAATTTCTTTAATTGAGAGAATTTGAATTCAAATTCTCTCACCTTTCATGCATAATACAGAAACTTAATAATAATTATTAAGTTAAATGTACTAAGACTAATTACATTTATTTTAATATAGTTCAATAATACACAAATTCGTATTGTATTCTTTTGACTTTACCTTCTCACGTGAAAGTACAGTGCCTACAGAGATTATGATAATTAACATTTTCGATGGCTCTATTTTCATAGATTGCGGATCTTACTAGTGTAATAATTTCTTTATTTAATTATTGTCAAGTGACAAGAAAGATTTACATCAACGAATATAACAGAATTAAAGAGAAATAAAAAATTATGGTGCTAGGGTTGTAAGCGTGTACGTTTTCATGTTAGCGTGTTTTAATAATTTTAAATATTGAATTATATATAAAATTAAGATTGTTAAAAATATAATTAATTCCTCTTTAGTTTTTCAATAGAATAAAAAGTATAATTACTCCTCGTGACTTAAGTCATGGTTCGATCTTTCATAATGTAAATCTCCAGGCCAATCTCTTTGCCTCCGAGAATAAACAAAAATTAATCAAGTTGATGAACCGTTAAAACAGACATGAGTTTAAATTTTTTTAAAAAACTATATATATATATATATATATTTCTTAGAATAATATTTCTAAAAAATAATCTTTAAAAAATTGATTTTATTGCTATAATATATCACACTTACTCTAAAAATATATTTATTTTTATTTATGATAAGTGGCATTTCAAACTATATATATTTCAAATGCTTTTACTCATATTAGATATACATCAATCAATCAATAAAATTGTGAGATTTAAAGTTTTAGAATGGAAAATTTTTAGTAAAAAAAAAAAAATGTAAATTTTCTTTACCTAATAGTTGCATAGATTGAAAGTTATTCACGAAATAATTGAAAGTTACACAGAACTAATGATTTAGTAGAATTTGATTCGATTTGATTTTGAACTTTCACGTAATTATAATCATTGAATTACGTTATTAAATAAACACTTCCAAGAACATTTCCTAGTACTCTAATACATATTTGGCTATTGGGTATTTGGTTAGGTGGGTTGAGCCATCCCAGATTCCCAGAGAAGGGACATCTATTGTCAGATTAGGACAAGATCAGGTTTCAAGGTGTGGAATTAGCAAATCAAAACTTGTTTTTTAAGTGTGAAGAAGCCAGCCAATCCCTAAAGCCAAGGCACGATATCTGGGATTAACTGACTTAACGGTTTCCTGTTAGCACTAATAAAACAAGTTAAGAATAGAACCAGCACATGTAACTGTCATTTTCAGTCACATTGGAATGAACTCGTCTGCGCCTCTCATATCATCAATTTGTATTTTTAAGTTGAATTCAAAGATTTTGCCCTTTTCTATAGCCGCTTTTTAAGGCTTTAACTTGAGATAATTACATGGCTATTATGGGCTAAGATTGTATGTTATATATAGCTAGCCTTTTCTGACATATATTTTCTAGGAAATATAGACATCATTTCATCTCATTTCTAGCTTTTTTTTTTTTTTTTTTTTTTTTTTCTCTTTCTAGCTTTTTTTTTTTTTTTTTTTTTTTTTCTTAAAATTAATTGTTTTAATAATTATTAATTATTTTTTTTTTTTTTTTTTTTTTTTTTTCTTAAAATTAATTGTTTTAATAATTATTAATTATTTTAATTGTAGTTAGTCATTAAACGTTAAAAGAAATAAGGTTCTATAAAAAGTAGATTGTAAACTTCAAATTTTAAATAATTAAGATCTGTTACAAAAAATTAACTATTTTGGTAGTTGTTAGTTATTATAGTAATATGTAATTGCTTGAATAACTTTTCATCAAATACTAAAAACTAAACGTTATATAAATTAACTTTTCATAAAATATTACATTAATGTTTAAAAATTAATAATTCATACAGTATATTATCGAATATTATAAAAAATAAAAAATTATATTTTAATCAAAAGGCTAAAAAGTTACTTATAAAGTAGTTGCCAAACATATGCTTATACAATATAAGATAGAATCTATTTTCACTAATTCAACAACCTAAAAAGTTAAATATTAACTATTAAAAATTTTAATTTTCATGTTCCCAATACACCAATTTAAACCATTATAAATATTAAATTTATCAAATCTATTAAACTAAAAATAGTTTTAAAGTAACAATTAATCACCAATTACATAATCCGTGAAATAAATAAATTTTTAACCAGCATAAAACTACTAACTTATTGATTAACCGTTACATTTCTCTCACAAAAATTTTCTATATGATAATAATTAAGAACAACACCCAGCTTGAAAATTCAGATTGAGACTGATTGTCTACAGGTTTATTGTGTTATGAGGAATTCTGCCCAAGACTAGTTCGAGTTTGGAGTTATTATTTCTAAATGTAAGCTACTATTAATCCAATTGCCTAATATCACCTTGGCTTTGATAAGAAGATAAACTAATAATATAGCTCATGTATTGGCTAAATCAGTTCGTCATGTGGCTTGTTTTCGAACTTGGGATATTGTTTCCACTTATATTGCTCATTTTTTTTTTCTCTAAATAATAAAATGCCCAATATTTCAATGTAAAAAAAAAAAAAAAAAAAAAAAAAATTAATAGGTTAACGCGCCGCAACTATTTTGACTGTTAGGAGATAAAAAAGAAAAAAATTAAGATAAACTAAGCGACTTCTCGTTAGTGTCGTGTTGTGATCATGGTTGGAGATTTGCATTGTACTTGTTATTTTTATTAGCGCCTTTATTTATAAAAAAGTGGTGGCGGTGTCACGTAGAGATGTGACGCAAATGGCGCTATACGATTAAAAAAGGAGAAATAGAAAATATATTCAAAATAAAAAAAAAAAAAAAAAAAAACACTCTCGTCTCTGACATTTGAGTTGCATGATTTTATTTATTACGTTATATAAAAAATGGGGTCACGTAAGAGTGACGCAAGGCGCTATAGATTAAAAAAAATAAAAATAAAATTCAATCAATAGGCTAGCTTCGAGGTGTTAGCTGTACATGAGATGTACTACATTTGTCGAATTTTAACTTTTAAAAGGGAATTATTGCATCCTGTTTGTATGAGAGGTCTAATAATTTATTTCCATTGAAGTTTAGAGATTCATTTTCAATGCAAATGATTTTGTTTCTTGAAATTATTTTCCAAGAAAATATCTTCTCTTTTTTCTAGCAAGTCTTTAATTCACTACTTATCACATGATTAATTAGTTATATACTACTATTTGCCTCACCTAAGCATATTTATGAGTTACTAATAACACATCGAATATCGTAGTAAGTAGCCTCAGTTGAAATAAAAATAAAAATTTAATTTTTAAAAAATATATTTATTAAGAGAGTAAAAATCTTTTGTTCCTTGCCCATTAATTACACCTCTTAATCCTAAATAAATTATGTATAGATCAATCTCGCACTAATAATCAAATTTGTGTTACTCTCAATTTTCATTTTGACGTATTAAATACTTCAAATTATAAAATTGTATAGAATAAACACTTATTAGATGGTTGAAAAATGTAAAAGTTACTGTTCTAAAAGCTATACTAACCACGTGTCAAATCAATATCTTATATATGAAAATCAAAAACCTTAAAGTTCAAACTACCACAAGATTTTTCTTTTCTTTCTTTCTTTCTTTTTTTTTGTTAAATTTCAAGAGTCTTAATCATTTTACAAATTAAAATGGAGCATTATGATACTGTAATTCAATTTGACTTGTTACAGTTCAAACCCAACTGAATTTAATTTAGTTAAAACTCAATTATTTTGCAATTCGAGCTCAAGTAAATAAGAGCAACTCATACGAGATGATATAATTCACAATAATTTACACGTATAGCGGATCCTCACACGAGTCAAGAAAAGGTATCAAATGATTAAACAATGTAATCTAATTTTCTACTTGGGGACATGTGATACGAGATGTTTATTAGACAGATGCATGAGTATTTCAAATGAGAGAGAGTTTAAATTAAAATAAATTAAACTCAGATGGAAAATAATAAAAATCAAATAAATACTGCTTTATTTAAAATTCTCACATGTATTAAGTTAATTATTTTCAATTTTCAGATTTCTTGTGAATTGTGAATAAACTTAAGAAGGTCACGCAAGCAACTAATGTAAGTCAACAGAAAAATTACGAGATGAAATAATCAAATAATGTGTACTGCAGAAAGAAAACATGGGAAAGAACAGGACAATCTAAGAGAAAAATGGCTAAATATATAAATTCACATATCAAACTTTCAACTTTTAACATTATCACACACTAAATTTTGCTAGTAGACCAATTATGTCCCCTCAATTTTCGAATTTTATATATATTATGCCCTTTCCATCATAGAAACAATGATATATTAGGATTTTCATCTTTATTATACAAAGTATGGTTACTATGTGCGTTAATACAATTTTTGAATAATAATTTTTACATTTTTTAATTGTTTAATAAGTTAATCGATCTAATTTTTTACAAGATGACAAGTTCAATAGAATATTTTTTTATAAGTTAATGTGTTTAGTAGATAAAATTTTATAATTTGAATGGCAAAATAAGTCCTTATAAAGTTTAGTATGCCACACAGTTAAATCTGTTGAGTTCAGGGGCATTTTTTATTTGACCAAGAGAAAATTGACAACCTATCTTTGTCTAACTGTGCATCATATGCTTGTATAGTACCGTATTATGAAGTTGGATTATCTATTTTCTCCCCTATAAATACAAGCTCACCAATCTCTATATCGACACATAAACTCTTCTTATCTTCTTCTTCTTCTTCATTAGCCACCTAATTAAAGAAAATAATTATTCTTTTCTCTTTTACGTGATCAAAATGCTCGGTTCCAATCTTGAAAATACTTTTCTAATCACTATCCTCATTGTCTTGTCTCTTTTATCTCCAAGATTTGAACCTTGCCATGCAAGACTACAGGGGAAGTATTGGAGACCAGGCAAAGTTGTCCCAACAACTTCTGTGGTTTTGCAGAAGGAAAAAGGTTTTGGTGGTTTTAGCCACGGCCATGGCAGGAGCTTGTTAAGCTCTGCCACCTTCAATGTATTTGACTATGGTGCTAAAGGTGATGGTCATAGTGACGACACAAAGGTGATGATGATTATTAAGTCATGAAGCTTTCATTATTTTCCCAATCAGTTCATTAGAGTTTATTATTAATTTCAAAACATAAATAGTCATTCAAAGTTCTAATAATTTGCTACTCACATCATCAAATTCAATCTTAGATTTTCTTTATATTATTCTTTTAAAATAATTGAGAAAATTATTACTGTGCACTCAATAGACATGAATATATTTTCGGTAAGGAAATGAAATGTAATGTAATAAAATATAATTAAATTCCACTAACAAACGCAAACTTAGACTGGATTGTATTACTATCTTTTCATATATACTCCATAACATGGTGAGTGCAAACTACAATTCTATCTAATTATGTAACTTCATTTAGCTATCTAATCATAACATAACAAAATAGGCAAGTGAGTGGCACTAAAAGTTATTCTAAAAGTTAAAGATAGCATTTCAGGCAAGTGGTTGTCTTTCACGAAAGACCATACCAATATTATTTTGCCATCTATGAAAAACCAACGGCTGTGTAAGAATACCGGAGGCTGTCATTATTTTCATTGGAGTTGATGTTATATTAATCAAAATGTTATAAATTGGTATTATGTGACGCAGGCATTTGAGGCAGCATGGGCAGCTGCTTGCAAAGTAGAGGCGTCAACGATAATAGTTCCTTCTGGGTCTATTTTCCTTGTACACCCAATTTCTTTCTCAGGTCCTAATTGTGCAGAAAAAATTGTATTTCAGGTAAATTTCCATTAACTCCTGGTTTTATTAGCATCCTTTTCCTTTCCCCTCTTCTTCATATTATTTCAGGTAATCATTGTATTTAAATATAAAAATATCATAAAAATTTTTAATTCCTTAAGAACTAAACAGAATAAATTCTTTCATGAACTGTTGTACTCCCTTCTAATTTTCCTATCCAAACCAGGCTAGACTCTTCTTGAAGGAGTAAAATTACTTAAATTTGTTTGAAAATGTTTTGCAGTTGGACGGCAAGATCATAGCTCCTACTAGTGCTGGAGCATGGGGATCAGGGCTTCTACAATGGATCGAGTTCACAAAACTAAAAGGGATTACAATCAAAGGTAAAGGCATCATTGATGGACAAGGTTCGGTCTGGTGGAATGACCTACCAGATGATAGTCTAGACTCAGAGGTAAATGAAAAAAAAAAAAAAAAAAAATAGTCTAGAACTCAGTAGGTAAATGAAAAAAAAAAAAAAAAAAAAAAAGAATTCAAGTATTCAACAAAGCCACTCTTCACATTTCCAGTTCAAATTATGCTAAAACTAACCCATCTATCCTGTCTCGCAAATTATCAAGCAGGTAACCAGTGAGCACAGTGCAAAAATGCCTGGCACCAAGCCAACAGTAAGCACTCAAAGTCTAGGCTCCGTTTGGCATTGAGTTTTCACCTGCTTTTCAATGTTGTATTTTTACTTCTTTATTATTATTATTTTTTTTTTGTAAATTCTTTTGACTGCATTTGAAAAACCATGGATTGAGAAAAACTAGAAAATATGAATTTTCTCAATAATGGTTTGCTATGTCCCGACAAACTACTTTCCCGGAGCAGTTTGTCAAAAACATCTTAAATGCAATGGAACACTTGGATCAAAGTTTTAACGCTAAGAATGTTTTGTTAACGGTTTTCTCTATCTATGCAGGTACTAAGATTCTATGGAAGTACTGGAGTAACTGTCACAGGCATAACAATTCAAAACAGCCCTCAAACTCACCTGAAATTTGACGATTGCACAACTGTTCAGGTTTCTGATTTTACCACTGCATCTCCTGAGGACAGCCCAAACACCGATGGAATTCACCTTCAGAACTCCCGAGATGTGCTCATTTACAGCAGCCATCTTGCCTGTGGTAATTCCAGAAATCAAAATAGAGAACCACTTGTTAATCCATAATGAATCATGTATTCCCACTAGAGCTCTCTAAAATAATCAATAATTACTGAAAGTAACACATAAATCCAGGATCTGAACACATAAATCCAGGATCTGAAGGAAAACCTCAACACATACATCAAAATCAGACAAGTTATTAATTTCATATTTTGCTATATTGTCAGGGGATGACTGTGTGTCTATTCAAACTGGATGCTCAAATGTGTACATACACAATATAAACTGTGGACCGGGACATGGAATTAGCATTGGAGGGTTGGGCAAAGCCAACACTAAAGCGTGTGTTTCAAACGTCACTGTTCGTGATGTTTCGATACAGAACACATTAACTGGTGTCAGGATCAAGACATGGCAGGCATGAATACCATGGAATCCAAATTATCACAACAGTAGCACATAACTATATGAATTTCCCTGCTAGAATGAAACCATCTAAATAGCCCTTTTCTTTACCTACTGCAGGGAGGATCAGGTTCAGTACAAGGAGTCACATTCTCAAACATTCAAGTTTCCGGAGTGCAAATTCCGATAATGATCGACCAATTTTACTGTGATGGCAGCAAATGCCGAAATGAATCTTCTGCTGTGGCTGTGTCAAGCATAAACTATGTGAACATAAAAGGCACATATACAAGAAATCCTGTACACTTTGCATGCAGTGACAACTTGCCATGCACTGGTGTATCATTAGATACCATAGAGCTTAAATCGGTTGGAGAAGACAGCCAACCTTTCTGTTGGAACACATATGGAGAACTGGAAAGTGAAATTGTCCCTCCAATTAACTGCTTGCAGACAGGCAAATCAAAGAAGCAAATAGTTAGCTGCTAAGCCTAGCCTAGGGAACTATATAGCTAGGTATGATATTATTTGTACACCTATACAGATGTTTGTTCAGGGCAATAGCAAAAACTTGTAGTCCTAGGAATCTTTGTCCTAGGCATGCATCAATTTCTCAATTACTTTCCAAAAGAATATAATACATAATATTGTTATTCTCTAATCTAGTTAAACATAAAATCTCACTGTTCTTCATTTAAGCTGAATGTAAAACAAAATGCGATCTTTTAGGCTTACTGTTCCTAAGGTTCAATGATATAAGTATTAATGACAGTAAGCTATAGAGAAATTGAACATGTGAAATCTATAACCAAAATCAGTTTCAGCTGGACATTTAAGGATGGACATTTAAGCATGCACAACAAATGAAGATGAAAAAGGTGAAAGACTGACTAGGAGCATATATTTAATATCAAGGAACCAAGTTTGTCTCAAGTCCAATTTAATAATGTCTTTAATTATGTATCACCATCAGAAAGCAAAAAGAAGAAAAGTAGGAAAAGATAAATGATTCTTTCTTTCAATTTCTCAAAAGAGAGAGAGAGAGAGAGAGAGAGAGAGAGAGAGAGATTCGTTCAAGGCAATGAGTGTGCAGGGACAAATGGAGATCCCTACAAACAATACAGCTATTAAGTACACATTAGTCATCAAGCTACATGCAATTATCTATCTTTCCTTTGTAACTTCCTAACAACCATGTAGTGCAACCACCATCTTGTAATGTATGTTTATGTGTTCAACCTGAGCTTCAGCCAGCAAATTCCGAGGCATAATACATGCAGCACCAGCCTCAGTTTGATCTTTCTGCAAATAGGATATTAAAAGAAAGTAAAAAGGCAATATATAACAGACTGGACCAAGGAAATACAAAAATTCAATTACTTAATTTTTTTGAAAATGTACCTGATAAATCTGAACTAGCTCAAGCCTGCAATCATTATTTCCCAAAACCGGCAGCAACCTTCTTTTTTCTGCGTGTTTCAATCCTTTCTGGGCTTGGGAGTCCAGTCTTATCCTCATATTTCTTTTCCAAGGCCTGTCAAAATTAGTTCACTATGAAGCAATATGTTATCCCATTTCATAAAATATCCTGTAGATAAACAAGGTATTTCTTCAGCATAACCAATTTACAAACCAAAACATGCAAAAACATCATTACACAATTTGATTTTGTCTGATCTCATGATAGAAATAAAGTAGTTTGTGTGCACATTTGATAGAAATTGCTGTATCATGCTCAAGCAGCTAGAAGTATAGCTCTCTCGGCCTGAAATGAATGGTTGTTCATATTAAACTCTTTATCAATTGTAGAATGGGTGAGAGGTCTAACTTAGCTCTAAATGGAGTTGTGATTTGCAAGTGTGTAACTCGCACTAAAAGCATCATGAAAGACATTCTTACTTATGCATTTACTAGAAAGCACCTTAATTTCAAAGCCATTTTCTAAGCTTTTCCCTTGGAATCCCTTAACTTATGTGTAACTACAATTTGCTTATTTTATAAACATTGAAATGATCTTGCAGCAGCTCAGGATTTTTGTTCCATTCTTCTAAGATCTAGATGAAGAAAAAGAATGTCCTGATGCTTGATTCACCAATATATACCCCTTTGCAATTACATGTTCTGGCAAGATAATACATCAGAAGCTGGAATGGAAATTAGTTGTTTTAGTTGCTCATTGCTTTTTCTCTTATGGCTACAGTTTCGTACTGCAGAAATATCTGGCAAGTATGTATAAGCCTTCTTGCATAGCAGTATACTAAACATGTTTCCTATCAAGAAAAAGGAGCCACCTTGTGGAATTAGAAGGTGTATCACTGGCTCACTTCTACTCACCTGTAGCTGTGGACGAATATGCTCAAGAACTTCATCAGTCATTCTATCGAAAAACAGAATACCCTGCAAGATAATGAGCTATCTTAGCAAAAAGACTAACAATTGATTTTAACAAACCGTAAAATAAGCCAAGAAATAACATAGATGACTATCTATTGGATGATTAGTTTTGTTACTAATAACACACACGTATTGCGGCTAGGTTTACTCTTAAGCTGTAAAGCTCTATGCTGGACATGATGGTTCTAGAAACATGAACCTTCAATATGCAAAATTGCAACAGGTTTATTATAAACCTTGACAAAAGAATGTGGTATTTGGTACCAGATCAAAATAAAATTATGGGGAAAATGGGGCAAGTATTATACAGTTACACCAAGAGGATGGTACAACTATGAAGTATTTATTTTTGTATGTACATTTATTACTATAAGATTGATGCTGCAAGAAACATTTTCTATCAAATGAAAAGCAAACTGATCCTGCATTTTTGCCTTACCTCATAAATTCTAGCATCTAGCGTAGCCATCTATCTATATGTACATATATGATATCTATAAGATATGTACACTACTGTAGCCACATCCATTTAGCATACATCAACTATCAGCAACAAACTAATAAAGATCACTTGTATCCAATATTTTCTAGTGAATAAAATTTTAGCCATGAGACTACCTGTAAATGATCAAACTCATGCTGAAAAATTCGTGCAGGAAGACCTGACAAGTTGACAGAAAAACTAGCACCATTAATGTCCCTTGCATCAATCTTTATTGATTCTGGTCTCTGCAAGTATAAAATGATATTCTAAATAATTTCAGGATCATAATAAACCAAGCAAATGATAATTTGAGTTGAAGCAAAATTGTGTTTAAGACTATATATTAAGCATATCATGGCTATCTAATCTGTTCATGAAAAATCTTTTTCCATACGGGGCCACAGAGACACTATAGCTTAGTTTGGTACATCTAAAAGGTTTTCTTTTCCAAAAAGCAAACTTCAACATCAAAACTCAAACACACTTGGCTTGATTGAAGAATGAGGGAAAAAGCAACAACTACGACAACATCACAATAATTGCACAAAAATGCTAAATATCAACAAACTCAAATAATACAGCTCAAATTTTAGCATAAAACAAACTGAATTACGAACTATGATAACTAAGGCAAATTACTCTCTGTCTGAGATATTTCTCAATCCAACATTTTATTGAGTAAAAGTGTTGAAATATTAAATAATTTCAAAATCTAAGCAAACTAAACCAGCCTTATTTAGTTCTGTTCGGTCCCGTGAAAATGAAGCAGCTTTGTCAAAAGGTACCATTTGCACTTGAGTTCTAAACTGTGTGAGATCTTTACAACGGGGGCATGTCTATGTCAAATGAACCATAAATGAGATTCAGGTTTAGATGTTCAACATATTGGGTTTAAGCGCACCTTTTCCTACCCATTTTATTAATGGATTGTATCAAGTGGACTTTTCCAAATCCAATTGAGGTGTTGTGCTTAGTCAAAATATACTAATAGTTTCTACACGATTCATTTAATAGTTGAATTTATCATAAAAAGAATACAACAAACAACAACTTAGACTTAATCCAAAACTAGTTGAGGTCAACTATATGAATCATATATTTCCATATCCACTTAAATTAAGCAATTAAAGCAAAGGGTAAAATTCAATAAATTTTGAATTACTTATTGTGAAAAAAATTTTGACAAAAAAATATGAATCATTCACTATGTGTATCATCATTGTCTCTATTATAAATTTATTTTTAAAGAAATTTTATTAAGAATATGAGGATTGGGTTGGATGGGTTTGGTTAGGTTAGGTTACATTTTGTATAAAAGTGATTTAAATATCGGATGGCAGTATTCAAAAATGACTTGGCCATTTCCCGCTGCGTACTTGTTACTTCCAATGGGACTTTAACTTGAAAAGGTATGCTTCAAGGAAAAGAAGACCAGTATCAGTACCTCCACATCAGCATAGATCCCAGGAAAGGATAGGCAACCTTCATTAAAGAGCACAATTTTCTTTGAATATTTGTTAACTCTTGGATTGATGAGAACAATCTCCTCTCCTTCACCACGCTCACCAACTGAATTAAACACCATAAGTCGAACATTAATTCCTACTTGAGGTGCTGAGAGCCCAATACCATCAGTTCTGTTAAAAAAGGAAGCCAACAAGTATTTGTTCACAACCTGTAAGTAGCAAGGACTAATTATAGGCATCTAACAATTAACAAAGTCTGATTAGAGAAACATATAATTTCAATGAAAAAACCAGAATGCACAGTTTTGTTTTACAGCCAGACAGTTGGCATATCATATCAAGCAACGGTTATGAAGGATAAAAACATGACCAAGCAGAACAAAGGAGATGGCGCATATCATATCAAACAAAGCATACTTATATGTAGAAGTGCAAAATGAACAACAGAATCCGATTTCAATCAAATATATTAAGCTACTTTAAGGGAGTTGAAGTTTCTGACTTCCCCAACAAAATACCATTAAAGGTGCCAATGAAAAGCACGGATGACTAAAAGTTTAAAGGGTCATGCTGTTAATAAGAGCAACACTATTTGCGAAACTACGTATCTAATAGTTGGATAGAATTTGCTTTTGGATAAGTATTCTACTGCAAATATGAGACACACATCATCAGTACAAATGCAATTCACAGACAATCTTCTTCACCCATAGCAAGTCTATCTCAAGTTATAGACATATGAACATCCCAGATGGTAATGAAAAAATCGAGGGTGAAAATGTTCATATTCCCCAAATAATGACAATAATTTCTGACTAGAATGTACAACTCTACAATTAAGCTAACTACGGAGCACGCAACAAATTCACAGCTGGCAAGCTAGGATAGCAACTTCTAACACACAAAACCAATTTTTAAAGTACACATTACTATATGGAAATCAAGAAAACGTACTTGTACATTACATCGAACATCTCATCGACCAGCTTCTTCAAATTCTCATCAAACGTATCGATTCTTTTGTTCTTCGCTCTCAATATAGGGTCCGGATACCTGACGATTTCGAGCGGTGCCTCAAAACGAAGATCAGCGGCTAGTAACATTCGAGCAACAACACCACCAGACAAAGTAAAAAAGCAGAAACTCAGAGAACATTCAATTTAGAGAAATCATAAAATTCGGAATTTTCAATTCAAATCAGTTTTTTAGTCTAGAAATTTTGAGGTCTGCTTACGAGTAGCTATTTCGTCTTTTTTGAATGTGAACCCTCGCTTGGCCTGAGAGCGAACCGCCATTAGAGGATTGGTTGAAGAAGTTAATCGACCGGTTGAGGTGAAACGGTTGAACTGGAAAAAGGTCGCGCAGAAACCAGTTTTGCGGTGGAAAAAATGAGAGATAAGTGCTCCCGGTAGCGAGTAGGAGCATAGGCAAGCCGAACGAGCCGCCATGGCAGCAGAACCAAGTTTGTGGCTAAAAACGATAAAACGAGAGCTACAAAAAATAAACCATTTATATTTGAAGCAAGATTAGTCAACTGAGGGAAAAGCAGTTTGCTTTAGATAATGTGTGTCACACAATGTAACTAATGCTAAGATGAATATTGAAGAGATGTGAATGTTGAGGCTGCACACAAAATACGAGTCCAAGACCAAATACATTTACTTTCACCTTGCAAAACTGTTTACGTAAATGATAAAATTTGCATTAGAATGAACAACTTATAAGTAAGGTGTAAGACAGAATCCATTTTCATCCTAATCAATTTTAAGGTATGCCACGTAAGGGCGAATCACTTGATTGAAATTTTGTTAAAAGTTCGGATACTCGATCGCAAAAACTTTCTGTTCAGGTAATAAAATAGAAAATTTTGAATAGTTGTAAGACTAAATTTATAATTAACCCGTCTGACTAAATATAGACCCTTTCTGGCATACAGCTCTCTCTCTCGCTCTCTCTCGGAAAAGGAGCTTTCATTTAGACTAGAAAGGAGAGACTCGCGTCACTTATCAGAGCTAGCGATTGGATCTTATCGCTATTCCCTGATCTTCTTTCATTCTTTACTACGTAATTAGATCTTTAAATTCTTTTTTTTTTTTTTTTATTTTTTAAATTTCGAATACCGATTTGTGATTAAATTTCGGATCGATTTACTGATTTCAATATGTAGCTTTTGATTCTGGAAATGGTTGCTGATTTATTGAATTTTTTTATGTTTGATCTGATTTTTGATTTTCCCTAAAGCTATAGATAGAGAATCAGAGATGGGGCTTTCCTTTGCGAAGCTATTTAGCCGGCTTTTTGCCAAGAAGGAGATGCGAATTTTGATGGTGGGTCTTGATGCTGCTGGTAAGACCACTATTTTGTACAAGCTCAAGCTTGGAGAGATTGTCACCACTATCCCTACCATCGGTGAGCTTCCAATTACTCTTGATATATTAGTTTTGATGGTTTTACGTTGAGTTTTAATCATCTGTTTGGGAGTTTATGCTTATGTTGTCTTTTTATTAATTAACATATGCCGTATATTTTCATATTTCAAAAGCATAGTCTGGATGCTTTTATATTCTTTTGTGTGTTGTTCTGTGATAACTGATAAGGTTATGTTGAAGATTATGTAGTTCAATAATGGAGTTGTAATAATTGCTTATTTTGCCTTGTTGGTGTGAAGTTAAATTTTTATTGGGTTTTGGATATGAAATGACCGCCACTAATTGTACGAAAATGACTACTACAAGTCATTATGGTTGCATTTAATGATAGTGAGAAAGATCAATTGTTATGATTGTACTAGTAGCGAATCAACTTGATGGCTTGCTAGTGATTATGTATTTTTAAGCTGGCAACTAAATATTTTCTCTATCTGACATTTTTTTTCCCCTCCCTATGATGCTTGCAAATTCCATTTGGATGTTTACACATGCATTATACTGATAATTTGTTGTTAAAATGTATTCATGTGAGTTTGTTTGATTTGATATGATTAGTTTTTATTTTCATTTTCCAGGATTTAATGTGGAGACTGTGGAATATAAGAACATCAGCTTCACTGTTTGGGATGTTGGTGGTCAAGACAAGGTATCTGTGTATACTGCATGCACAAGCACAAAAATTAATGTGATACTGGTGTATTTATAAGCTTGTGCATACTGGAATTCCAATTTTCCATTACTATTTCTATTATTACTGAACATGAATACTGGGTTTGTATTTCAGTTGTAAGATACCTAACTAGAGCATTATGCTTTGTCAACTTATGCATGTAGATTTTCAGGATATGAGTTGATATTTTCCGTTTTTTATCTAGTGTGAAAAAGGTTAAATTTGTATTGGAATAGGTAATCTCTTGAAATTTTTGTTTCGTTGTAGTTATTAGCATTTAAAATAGTATCTTACATGGAAGCATCTATGGAGGTATTCAATTAAGCTCTCAAGTCCAAGCTAATTGGGATTGGCTGCACGAGATGTTCTCCTTCATTTTGCAAAAAAGTTTGGCCATAAAGGAAGTAAAATTGGAAGGAACATTGTGTGTAATAATGTTTTTGTGCTTATAAAAAAGTCATCATTTTTGGAGACTTTTGCAATTACAAGAATTGGCCTGATGCCTGATGGTATGATTTAATCAGTAGATGAGATATCATGGAATGTGGGTGTTGTTGTTTGTTCTTGGGGGGTTGGCAAAATTGGAAATTGGATTTATTTTTTCACATGAACATGTAAATGTCTCTTCTTGGAGAATTGCTGGCACTGTTTACATTACATTGTTTGCACTAACATTGAAATAAGATATTGGGGTGTATGTTTAGTTTATTTTGTGTGTGTGTGAGCAACTGTGCATGTGAATCCGTTATTTTTGCTTTATTTGTTATGTTAGGTTTCCTGTTAAATTGATTTTCTTTTGAGTGATGTTATTCTTTTTCGAACAAATACAGATCCGCCCTCTGTGGAGGCATTACTTCCAGAACACTCAGGGTCTTATATTTGTGGTGGATAGTAATGACAGAGATCGAGTTGTTGAGGCAAGGGATGAGTTGCATAGAATGTTGAATGAGGTATCCTACCAAAGTACATCTCCATTTTCTTTTTTGCATAATATGTTCATCTAAGTTCAGTCATATTCTGCCATTGCATGTATTTCCTCAGTCATACTGGTCTTGATGGGCTTGAGTCAAAATTATTACGTTTTGTATTGGATGCATTTTTTCATTTAAGAAAAATGGTACCTTCTGTTAGGTTCAGCGATCATCTGATCCTAACAGGTGATTGTATTTAGGGTTTCAGTGTTTGGGGAAGAAGAAGAAGAAGAAGAAGAAGAGGAGAGAAAGAGAAGGAAAGAGGTAGAGATCAAGAGAAGAGAGAGAAAATTTGATAAATTGATTCGTATCCCAAAAATATTTCCTACATCTTAGTTATTGATTAGGTGGCATATAATTCAGCTCAATTTGCCACTTAACCAAGACAATAGCTATTGACTCAGCAAACATTACAGTGTACTTCACAGTTAGATGCAAATACAATTAACGAAATTGCAATTAAGTCCAATATCAATTAAATTAAGTCCAAAAACCATGATGTGAATTGTACTTATATCCTAAAAGCTTCACACACTTCCATCTTATTTAATGTTGTGTTGCCCAGGTACATATGCTCGTGGTTCTGTTTATTATTGCATTCCTCTTTGCCATTTTCCAAAACTGCTTTTGCATCACCTATTTATTCTGCCTGATCTAGCTCAATGCCATTGGTGTGATGATAGTATTCCAGATTTAAAATGCACGGGTAGGTATGGATTATGATGATAGGTGCTGCTGCATTAGGCAGGGTGGTTGGGGTGGTGAAAATAGGCAGCATAAAAAGCATCATATACAAATGAGAGGAGGGTCTGCAGAACGAACTGTTAGTCTACGTGTATCTATGTTTAATTCCTGGCTTTCTTCTCTTTCACCTGCTTCCTTTTAGTTGCTTTACCAATCTTTTTTTTTTTTTTTTGGCATAAGATCGTATAATACTATATTGCTTAACAAATCAGCATTTTGTGATTCTGTTTACATTAGGATCAACAGATAGAGTTCTTCTGGTCTGAACTACTTTATAATCTGGGGGTATTCTGGTTGCAGGATGAACTGAGAGATGCTGTCTTGCTTGTGTTTGCCAACAAACAAGATCTTCCAAATGCGATGAATGCTGCAGAAATAACTGACAAGCTTGGGCTTCATTCTCTCCGTCAACGCCACTGGTAAATACATTGTTGGATTTTATGTACCCAAGTGCCTGTCAGGTTGTGCCATTTTATCAAAACGCCTTTCAAATTAATAGAGCAGTTATTAAAAGTTGGTAAAATAAGATACAATGTTAACATGCCTGAATAATTACAAAAGAACTTCTAAATTTTCTGTTTTCACTTGTTAAATTGGGACATTCTGAATGTGGAGGTTTTCACAAAGTCCAGACAACTAGAATCAGCCGAACAGCATTTTTGAGCATCATAACTTTGAAAATTCCTGTTAACATTTGGAATGTGACTACATAATGTATTGACAATAGAAAACTAGTGCTTCCACGTTTGCTGATCTGATGCTGTGACTGCTCGATTTCAGGTATATACAGAGCACATGTGCAACATCGGGAGAGGGCCTTTATGAGGGGCTGGAATGGCTGTCCAACAATATTGCGAGCAAGGTGAGTATATTTACTAGTGACAATCGTACAATGCATAAAGTTAAATAAGATATCCGGACAGGTTAATATTGTGAAGTTTATAGAAGAAAACGGCTTGATAATTAATAAAACTTTGAACTCATCGACTTGTTGCAATTGCACCCTAATTTGAACTTTTTGACATGTATACCCTAAATTGCAAACCTGAGAGTAATTGCAAGCTGATGTTGGGGTTAGGATTTTGAATGAAAAATTAAAACTGCGGGTCCTACAACTTAACCCAGGCTTAGCTAAAGACTAAAATGCACAATTGAGGGAAATATAAACAGTTTCCTTGCCCCGTTTCTTCTCTGTATTATCGGTTGAAACCTCAATCCCTTGGATCTGAATGTTCACCTTCTCTCCTCCCTTTACAGTAAATGACTAAGCCGGTTAAGGTGGGTTAACCTGTAAATTGGTGGGTTCGCTTAGTCCTCCATACTGAATTGGGATGTTCTCCGGTCTTATAAATTCTGATTTTCGGACAAAAAACTTAAAATAGTAAGTTTACCATGGAGAGTAAATTATAAGCACATAAAAACAAATCAAGATAAAAAAGTCAAGAAAATCTTGATTTAACAAAATTAAGTGAACAAATTGAATGCTCACCTGTATAGAGTCTTTGCAACATTTACTTCCTTGGAGGTAACAAATTTGCTTTTTGTTCATTGAGTTAAGAATGGCCTAAACATCAAATATGCCATGCTAAAATACCATTGCATATTGATGAAATCTAAAATTCCCACTAAGAAATTTAAAAAAGAAAACAACGTATATAATAATGTGAAATGTAACTTAAAAAAGAAAAAAAATTAATGGGTACTAAGATTAAATAATAAAAATTACCTTATGAGCGACCATTTCTAGATATCATTGTGTTATGAGAAATTACATCCCTTTCAGTCATTTTGTCGAACACTTGGTACATGTAGTTCAAATGGGACATTTTATATACATTTGGATCTAATAATTTGAAATAAAAATAGCAGGGGAAAATTGAAATATGTAATGCGAGCATGGGCTTGTTTGCCGGGATTTAGAGAGTTGTGATTGGAGCATTCCTGGTAAATATGGGACAAAGTCATTTTTCTTTGGATGGTCTTGTGTAAGTTGTGAAGAAACTGTAGAAAAAGCTAAGGATTTGTTGAGCTTTTTTCTATAGAATTCTTGGTGAATAAGGAAAGAGTCTTGGATTGAGCAAAGAACCGAGGAGCAGCTTGCCATCAACCACGGCAATCATGCTTCGACGGAGGTCACAAATATGAGGGCGCAATTGTTATTAACTGAGTTGTGGGGCCCATTATTTTTAATTTTTAACTCGAAATCTTCACCTTAATTTTAGTTTGAGGTGCAATTGTTGTTTAAGTTGCAATTTAGGGTATATATGTCGAAAGTCAGAAGTTTAAGGTTTTATTGATTATTGTGCGGAGGAAAACAAGATGGTAATTAGATTTATGTTGGAATTGTTTAAATTAATGTGGTAACTACCTCTTTTGATTTTTATTTCCAGGCTTGAAACGAACTCAAGGATTCTGATGGTGTTGTAGACTTTTTGAGACCTGCGAGTCTGGAAAGCCAAGCTTCCCTTCTGTTCAGTGACTGTTGTAATAACAGAATGGTTTGTTTAGATCTACTTTACCTGAAGTGTGGGTTTGAGTAATATTTCTTAGCTAGTACATTTATCTCTTCAAACATAATTATAAAAGAACTTGGCACGTTTGGCAATGGCGACTTGAGTTTTGTTTTTTTTTTTTTTTTTTTTTTTTTTTTTTTAAAAGAAAAAAAAAAAAATCTATATCCAATTAGGGTGATTATTTTTAAATGGTGGTTTTTTTTTTTTTTTTTTTTTTAAAGAAAAAAAAAAATCTATATTCCATTAGGGTGATTATTTTTATGGTGTCTGAGTTTTTTCTAATGTTTTTTTCTTTTGGTTTCTAAACAAAATAAACTTACAATGGAGTGTTTAAATTATTAACAAAGGTGCAACGAGTATTTTTTGGTGGATTAGCCAGAAATTTAAGTTGAATATATTTTACTCGATAAGTGAGGCGCCAAATCATTAAAAAAATTTCAAATTTTACAGTAGTTTTAATTGTTCTTTAAATCAACTTCTTTTGCTAGTACCCTCAATTTTAATTTTAATTACAATATCACTTTTAATAAATAAAATATTATTTTCAATGGACTGTACTCTCTTTTATGTCTTGGTTTTTATAAACTAAAGACATTTTAGTTATGGTTACGTTATTATAAACTAAAGACATTTTAGTTTTGATAACATTGAATATTTTTTAAAACTCAAGTTGGATTAAGAATCGCTGAATAAATTCATCTTTTAATTGTGTAATTTTAATTTTGTGGCAGTCTAAATTGTATGGATGACATATTGTGCATTTGAATTTACATATTCTGATAACATTACACACTTTTTTATACTAACAAACAATAATTTTTAGGATTTTAACTTTTATATGCAAAATATTGATTTGATGCGTAGTTAGCATAATTTTTTAGGATAATAAATTTCACCTTTTTTAATAGATATTTAATTTTATTTACAAGTTAAAGTGTTCAATAAGATGATTTTATAAATTTAAATATTTAATAAAAATTAATTTTATAAATTGAAGTCTTTTGATAAGTCAAAGTAAAAACCGAAAGTATCACAAAATTAAAGTAATAAAATCCAACGATGAAATTGTGTATTTCACCGATTAAGAACAGTAATTGCAAGCTGTGAAAGTGACTGTAGGTGAAATCTTACATATTGACATGCATATATATCGTACATATAATCACTCAAACAGTGAAACAATCAGATCTAAAACTATGTTATGCACTGTATGCTGTGTGCAATCACTCACTAACTAGAGGTCTAATTCTATGTGGAAGTAGAGCAATCTCCAAATCACATGAATATGTTAACTCCATAGATAATCATTCAAGGCTTGTTTGATTTAGCCGTTCATACTAGTTGATAGCGGTGGTTGCTGATAACAAATGAGTTTATGAGTTATAGGAGTTAGTTGATGAATAATGATGTTTGGTAAAAATTTTGTCCGCGGTTGCTATTACAATGCAAAATGAACATTAAAGGTTTATTATTTTTATAAATTATGATGCAAAATATATGCATATTTCTTTATATTTTAAGGTGAATCTATTATTTTTGTTTTAATGTATTATATAAACTAAAAATATATTTTTAATGTAATATTTAATAGAAAATTATTATTTTATATAACTATAAATAAAAGATATTAATTTTAGAAAATAATTTTGCTCGTACTTATTTTTATGAGGTTAATAAAATTTAAAGAAAAATCAGCTAGTACATGATACGAAAAGTTTCAAAACATAGCTATGGAATCTGCACTTAATAAAAACATCTATCAACTATCAACTGTTGATTAAAAAATTTACCAAATACCTACAATTTAATTGTTTAATACTAATCAATTATTAGTTACATGAATAAACTGAACCAACACCGACATAATTTATAATATGAGATTGTCTTGCTAATTCTCATAGTTGAGGACAACCAATCCAAATCTTATCCACAAATTGTATTTCTTCATTAATTTAAAAGTTTGGCATCTAATTAGGACGTTTAATTGTGATCACATGCAAATGGCATTGGACCCAAAAGTTGAGAGCTGCTTTAAGGCATTTCACAGCCCTTACTCTTATAATTGTAATTGGCTCTAACCACTAGTTTCTTTAAGACTTTTCCTAATTTGGGAAAATAAGGCAAAATATGTTTCTTGCTAAGGCAAATTAAGGGACCTCATGGACTTGCTAGTACATAATAAGATTGGGAGCTCAATTTTATCTCTAATGAGAATTGTCTATCTCACGCGCCTCAATGCTTGTGAAAGTCACTTTCTATCAGCTTTAACTGTGAATACAATTGTAAGAAAACACTATATTTTACTTCTTAATTATTTAACCGTTAACATTTCATATCACTTCCGATCATCCGACTTAGCGAGATAGTGAATATATATTTATTATTCAGAATTCAATTCAAACTAAATACTGAGTTTGAATTAATAACTTGTTGAGCTGAATGATTAACAAGTTATATAAAAAATGGATTTCTAAATAATTAAATTTTTTTTTTATATTCGTAAGTCACGATTTTATCTTTTTATTCTATGAATTACATAATTTATTTTCTTGACACCTTAAACGACGGAAAATTATAAAAAATATTTTTCTGCAAATTATTTTACGAAAACAAACGAGCCTAAAACAATTAATTTTATGAAATAAAACCTTAACATGTAATTTTAACTCTAGCAATAGAATAAGCATCCCGATTCACCGACTTTGGATACGGTCCCTCACGCACCCTAGCCAGTTGTGGGCTGAAATCTTGGAAGAGCTTCACTCGATTATGGCCACAACATAGATTTACTATAATTAGTATAAATCCAAGCTAGCTTTAGAATGAAAGGTCAGAATGCAGAAGCTTATAGATTAAGGAAATTAAGGAAGCAACGGGTCTTCCTGTTTTAATTAATTAGATTATGAGTTGTTATAATAAATAGTACTGGCCAGGGTTATTTTTGTTAGGAATTAGTCTTTTTAGTTGAGATTTATTAGAGTTTTAGTCTAAGCCAAGTATTCCTAATTAATCCCATTTGCCAGCTTGGCCCTTTCTGTTGTACTCCATCATAATAATTTTTGCTTGGATCGGAGAGCTATACATACCTAATTTCTACTTTCAGCTTATATCTAATCATGTGACAACCATTTGATTATTATTAATTATGTTGAAAATTTTATTTTTAATTAAAATAATAAATATTATTTATGCATTTATAATCTTTAATCATGCATGTACAAATTCTCAGTATAAATAAATATATAAATATCTTTTTATTGAAAAGAAAAGGAATAAGACAGTAATAAGGAGTATATAGTAATTCTAAATATATGAATTAACAGTTTAATGATGATTTATTTGATGGATATGAATTTTCTTCTTCCTCTTCTTTTTCCTATTTCACTTCATGATTGAGGGGTGAGCACATGACAACATTAGGTTTAACTGAATTGGACTGAAGATTGAATGTATGTATATGAAAAATTCAAAAATGGTTTTGGTTATTCAAACTAAATTACCTATTTTGGATGAAAAATTCAAAAATGGTTTTGGTTATTCAAACTAAATTACCTATTTTGGATGAAAAATTCAAAAATGGTTTTGGTTATTCAAACTAAATTACCTATTTTGGATGAAAAATTCAAAAATGGTTTTGGTTATTCAAACTAAATTACCTATTTTGGATGTAAAAAATTAATTCGGTTAAGTATGTATAAAATCAAACTAAAATGAAAAACCGAATAATTATTATTAATCAAACCGATGAGTGATCGAATTCTAAAAAAGATGATTGGACCAAACTGAAATTCAACCATTTGATATCATTTTCGAATTAAACTCTAATGTTGCTCACCCTAGTCATAAAAGAAATAGAATCTAAAATTTTAAAATTTCACTTAGTAAAATTGTGGATAATTTAATTTTTTCTTTTTAATTTCACCTTCTAATTTTTATTTTTTTTTTTTTTTGACTTCTGACAATTGACGGAGTGAGCGGGAGCCTTCGGTGGCCGTAATGAGTTTTTTTTTTTTTTTAAAAGTTTTTTTTTTTTTTTAAATTATCTTATAATATATTATTTTTTTATTTTATCTTTTAAAATAATAATTTTTTCAACTTTACTCCCTTTAAATCTTTTTAACTATCTTTAATCATGAATTAAATCTTATTCATATTTTCTTTTAAATGAAAAAAAAATAGGAAGAATCCCGAGTGTTGATATTGTTTTTATCAACAAAAGAGAATTAAATTTATTATTAAAAAAAAATAAAATTGCACGTAGGAAAAACTCGCGTCTTCGACCCAAGCCATAAGACTTTTCTCTATTAGCCCAAAACACCTATAACTTGAGCATGAGAAGCAAGCAATACCAAAACCATAAAACAAATTATAACTAAAAGTTTAAAAAAACTTTAGCTACTTTTTATGAGAAGGGAAAACAGATTTGCGAAGAAATAATGCAAACTGTTATTTTTCTTCCTTCCTTTTAAAAATTTGCATGAGTGCATCAAAGAAGTACCAATCGCTAAGAGAAATAAAAAAGAATGGAAATTTAGCTTTAACTAACTCGAAACTTCTAATTTTAATTTTGTCCAGCAACTGATAATCTTCTAACCATGTTTGCGAATCCTGAGTGTTGTTAATCCAGCATTGTACACACAACGTGTATTTAGCTCCAAAATTTTTACTTTCTTTTCTTTTCTTTTTATCATGGTTTGAGGGGGAAACATGAGAAATTTTGATGTCTTGTCTTTTTGGGTTGATATGGTTTAAAAACTTCGTGGTTATATTTATATATATATATATATATATATATAATTATATATATATAATATATATATTTATATATATATATATATATATATTAAGAACTAATCCATTTTCAGAAAATTGATTGAAATTGAGTTGGAGGCTAATATGATAGAATTGAAAGACATGCTAAAAGTTGATATTATTTTAAGTAATTAAGCCATAAATTTTGACTTAATTGTTCTAATTTATTACAATATTAAAAATAGTAAAAGGCATGAGAAAGAAAAGATACAAAAATTTGAATGTTAAACTTGGAACATTTTTTTTTATCAGCCAACGAAGAAGTGGATTATATTAATGATAGGAAATGAAGCAGATTAGGGAAATTAAGTTGAACTAATCTAACTGATTAATGTCAAGCCAATAGCCTTTTCTCCGCACATCCCAACCTAATGTTCTCCAATAACCTACAACATAAGAGCACCTGAAGCGCCCCGCGACCCCCCCATCCCCCCCAAAAATAAAAAATCGGAACAATTAAAAGATAAGTAACCGCTGATAGTTAATTGCCCCCCCAAAAAAAAAATCGCACAATTAAAAGATAAGTATCCGCTGATAGTTAATTTGTATTATATAATATTTAAACTTTATTAACTTTATAAAAATAATTACTAGAAATATTATATATATATATACATACATTATACATCGTGATATATAAATATAATTATACCATAAACAGTTATTTTACATTTTAACAGCGACTACTAATAATTTTTAGTTCAAATCAAACTACATATATTAGTTAATTAATTTTGAAGCACATCAAAACAATTATCAAATTATCAAATTCAAATTATTAAGTGGAAAACAAAAGTTCATATGAAATCAAATTACAAATGTTTAAGTATGGACAAATCCAAATAATTAAGATAAACCAAAAATCTTATACGCATACATCTAAACGGGCTTGTATAAGTTACTTCCTTTCCCGCTTCTAGCTTCGTCTCCATGTGGAGGGACTCCTAATGCATCTCTGTTGACCAAATTATGATCGGCACTTGAACATTGACCAAAGATTTTGAAAGTGTTTATGTACTCAGCAACAACCCTTGAATTATATATTTGATGAGAAGAATAAGATAATTTGAAACGAAAAGACAATTTTATGGAATAAAAATATATAAATATAAACCAAAAAAAACAATTTTTATAATATATAGTATTTTGTTTAGACGTGCATATATGTTATACGTAGGAGTCAATTTTGTGTTTACGTTCTATTGGCTATTGGATATTATTCCAACCAAATAATGTGGCCATGCATGCAATTACATGTATTCTTACTCATGCATGCATGTGCACTGTTATTAACAACATAGTTAGGTCAAAAGTTCACTTTGTAAGAATTTGATTAACAGGTAGATTGGACTCGCACTTTAAAACATCTAATGTACTTGGTGTTTTATTTCTATCGGACATAGGCACCTTTTAAACAGACTAAAAAATGGAACTGAAACATTGTAGAGAGCCATTTTTATTCTTTTAAATATTTTTAAATTAAAAATTTTAAAACCGTTAATTTATTTCTACACGAGTCACCTATGGAAACAATAATTTTTTAATAACAATATTAATGTTAATGATTTAACTAATGATGTAAAAGAAAAAAATTAAATTTTTTTATTTTATCCCGATAACTTCCTGATATAACTAGACAGTCTTATTTGTTTATTTATAGTGAATTGTCCCTCGATTTAGAGTACTCGGTTTGAATTCTTGTCTTGCAGATTGGATATCCAATCTCCATAAAAAAAAAAAGATAACAAATTAGAAAAAACTATTTTAGATAATTGTTTATTTATTTGAATTTTCTTAATAAATTACTTTAGTAGTTTTTAATGCAATCAGTACGTGAGTATGTCATATTTAGTTATTATATCCTGTGTCTGTATCGTACCGTGTCCTGTATCTGAGTCTATGTAAGTTTAACATCAATGAGAAACAAAACTTAAAAATATCTATCCTTAGATTGCCTCTATAAAAGCCACAGCTACCCTAATACCTCATTATTTTCACACACCTTCTTTCTCTCTCTCTCTCTCCAAAAACAACAAAAATGGAGAAAAAACCATGCAACTCTCAAGATGCTGAAGTTAGAAAGGGTCCATGGACTATGGAAGAAGACTTGATCTTGATCAACTACATAGCCAACCATGGTGAAGGCGTATGGAACTCCCTTGCTAAAGCTGCTGGTAACAATCTATATATATGTATCTCCCTTTTTTTTTTTTTTTTTTTTTTTTTTTTTTTTTTTTTTTTTTTTTTTTTCATTCATAAACAAAACCCCTAATAACTTTTTTTTTTTTTTTTTTTTTTTTTTTTTCATTCATAAACAAAACCCTAATAACGAAACTCTCCTTTTTCTTTAGGTCTGAAACGTACTGGAAAGAGTTGCAGACTCCGATGGCTGAATTATCTTCGCCCTGACGTTCGACGAGGAAACATAACTTCAGAAGAACAGCTTTTGATCATGGAACTGCATGCTAAGTGGGGAAATAGGTATATATATAGATATATATGTCATAGATGATTATTTTGAAAATATGTTTATAATATATATATTGTTTGGAAGCTAAAGTATATAACGTAGAATAGTTCTTAAAAAGAAACTCAAATCTTTGGTTTCTATATATATAATATAGCTCTTAAGCCCATTAACGAGTAACTCTTGAGAGAGAGGCGTGGGATTTAAGCACATGGGGCTTTAAAGAACTTAAGGCTAGAAAAATTTGTCCTGGAAAAATGGTTGTTCTTGAATTTTTCATGGCTGTAACGAAGCCACTGGTATTTTTATCCTTTATTTGGGTTTTTCGAATATTATATAAATTGAGTATTATATATTTTTTTCTATTTTATGAATTTATGATACTAAAAGAAATGTTTTTTTTCCTTAAAAAGGTGTTTCTTGTTTCCTTTTTATCCTCTACTTCAATTTTAGATGTTATACTATGGAGCTAGAACACATCACTGCCAATGGACCTATCCTCCATGTAGTACATATATATGGCCAATGATCAAGATCAAATTGGTTCAACAGGAATGTATTATTATTACTATTAAAAAGAAGGATTTCTTTTTTACAAGAACTTTTGATTTTGTACATATATATAATTAAATTTTCTATTCCAAATTGATAAATTATTAGCAACAATAGAATTTTCTTGATTAAAATGATGGAAAGATGTGTACTACTGGGGGCTAGATTGATGGATCCCCTCCAAGGTACACATTTTTTAAATTTATTTATTTGTTCTTGATTTATTTTCTTTATTATTTATGTGTTGATCTTCATCAAAAAAATATATAAAAAATGTAATTAAGTAGTTAAACTGACCTCTTTTTTCCTTGTAAAGTTTTGGAAGGGACTAAAAATAAACTAGAAACCTAACATTTCAGGTAAGTTATTTTCTTTTATTTTATTTAAAGAAAAATATAACATTACAGCTAGTTTTTGGTATTCAGGCACGTTGTGAAATGTGAATGCAGGCAAAATGAAATTGGCAATAAGAAGTTTCCATTTTAAGCTGAACCCATTTAAATAGGTCACATGTTAGCTATTCATTTCAGAAGAAAGAGAAGATCTTTTGCTTTGGTTGAAATGGACATTAACCATATGTTCTGGCCCCTTTAAGACAATCTCCATATTGTGATCAACATGGTCTTGGGTTCTCAAGTTAAAATACTCACGTGTCTTTTTTATTTCTTGGCCAGATTTTCTTTGTCGTTTAGTTTGACTAATACTTTAACTTTTGTAATGTAAGAGGTCAAGCTCGAATTCTTTCTACCTAAAAGACTTAGAGATATTCATGTGAAAAAATTATTACATACATAAAAGACTTAGATGAATTACATGAGCCACTCAAATTTTAAATTTTAAAATTTAAATTTCAATTTCTGCTTCGCTTTATTACAAGGACATTTTGAATAGAGTTGTCTATACTTTGATTTCTAGCCAAGGAACATGTACTGAGATAAAGCCACCATTTTAACTAAAATAGCTTAACATTTCTTAGGTTGCCAGTCACTCCAGAGAAATAGAATGTTTTTCACAATTTCTTTCACGAACACCTTTTTTCTTTTTTGAATAATTCCAAATGAAAACTATTATCCCTTTTTTACGTACTACTGGCTTGTCAATATACGTCATATAGCCAAATATATTCAATTTCTTCAATATTATTATTATTTTTCAAGTTCTAATTTGTAGTTATTTGATTATGTTATTCTAATTAGTGATAATTTTTATTTCCTTTAATTAATTAATTTCACTAATTAATATAATTAAATTCCAGGTGGTCGAAAATCGCGAAGCATCTTCCAGGAAGGACTGATAATGAAATAAAGAACTATTGGAGGACAAGAATCCAGAAACACATAAAGCAAGCAGAAGCATTTGCAGGTCAGAATACAAATTCAGAGATAAATGAACATGCAACAAGTTCAAGCAGCAGTCAATTTTCATCAGGAATGATGGAGACTTACTCTGCTCCATCTTACCAAGGAACTATGGAGGCTTTTACAGGACCAACTTTGGCTCCTGAATCCACTGAAACTTACTGGACCATGGAGGATCTCTGGTCCATGCAGTTACTCAATGATGATTAAATAAATATTTTTAATAATATTAAATGAGCTCATGCTTTCTATCTATATACAAAACCCTAGCTACCCCCCCCCTCTCTCTCTCTCTCTCTCTATATACAAAACCCTAGCTACCCCCCTCTCTCTCTCTCTCTCTTCTCCTGTTTCCTTTATCTCTTTTGGATCAGTATAATTTAGGTTTGTAGGTTGTGGGACAGCAGTGGGTAGCATTATTCCCTCTATGTAAATAAAAGTTACCTTACATTGGCGATTATTTTTTGCCTTGGCTTGTAAAGGATCTTTATTATATATATACACACACACTCCATATCCACATAAAAAAATTTTTTGGGTTTACACATAAATATAGTTAATGAATTAATATATATATATAATATATATATATATAGATATATAGATAAGAATCTTAATTATAAGTAAAAAGAAAATTTTTTTATTGTAACATGTCAGCTCACAATATTATAAAACAATAAGAATAAGCTCAAGTCCTACTGGATGAAAATATATATAAAAACTCGAAATCAATATATATGAAGTTTTATTGGACAAATTACTATATGATTTAGGCAATTCTTCCTTAACATAAAAATGCTCTTACATATAAGGTATACATTAGGTTGTGTTTTTTTTTTCCTTCTCTTTAGCCGGGCAAAGTAGGATTTGAAGTCAGATGGGGCAAAAGTTTTTGAACATGCAAGTTAGCGGGGCAATTGCCCACTCTCGTGGCAAGATAGCTTTGCTCCTGCTCTTTAGCATCGTTACACACTATTAATAAATATTTAAACTCATTATTAGGTTTTTAATTCAATTTTTTCTTCTATAGAGTGTCTATGTCCTAACATATTTGTTAATATCATCTATATCCTCCTTTTTCTTTCTTTCTTTTTTTTTTTTTTTTTTTTTTTTTTTTTTTTTTTAAGAAAAGCTCGTTTTTTTTTTTTTTTTTTTTTTTTTTTTTTTAAGAAAAAGCTCGTGGAGATAATGCTTATATGTATAAAGCCATGCCATGCCATGATCAATCACACTAAAACCGAACTCAACTTATAAGAAATAAACACGTAGCAAGTCTATCATAGCCGTTCTTAGCATATTTCCACTTGGCTTTTGATTATATATCCAAATTTGTGCATGGCCATGCAAAATTGAAGCCCGACCTTAGCCTAACTCTTGCAATGCCCGCAAGGAAGTCTTCACATGCAAATTCCCCATACACTTATCCAACATTCTATATAATATATATCCCCAACCCACTTTTATTTTTCTTTAATTTATCATTTCTAAAACCAAATACCCCATTCATTATAATTAATTTAGTATGAAATGGGTATTTCGATATAATTATTTTTTAATACCTCTATTTAATTTATTTTCCGTATTCGAAATAAGATCCAATTATTACCTATAAACTTATTCATAATAACTCAACGCTACATAAGAATAAATTTATCAGTAATAAATGAAAAAATTTTCCTTATATAAAGATGAAGAAGTATTAATCCAACCGTTCGGTTTCTTTAACTATAATTGATTATCTTCGCGACTTGAGGTTTAATAACTAAACAAAAGAAATTATTTGTTAAAATGGGATTAATTATTTTGGGCATGCATGTGTAGTTTGGAATATTATGAAAAAGAGTAAGAGAGAACGGGACACAAAAGTTAGGTAAAAGTTGATGAGAATGGAGTAAGGGCATTTAGCGTACCAAACGCTTAACTTTTGCAGCCGACTGTTATTCAAATGAAGGGTTTGGAAGACAGCCCGAAGGCCCATTTCCTCGGACTTTGCTCTGTCTTAATTTAGTAAAAAGATAACAGAGGACGTCTCCAAATGGTGGACATTTCGTTATCCATATTATGAAAAATATATATTTATTTAATTAATTGTTGCCATTTACCTAAGCTAAAGTTTTTTAGCCGCACATTTATTTTGTCACATGTTTTATATGCAAAATTCTTTCATGTGGAAGATGAGCAAATACCACATGATGGGTCGGCCATGAGTGGTAAACGTTGTGGGAATATTTTCTTAGAAGAAAGTTCATCTATATATATATGATATTTTGCATTTAATTTTAATTGAAAATAAACTTTAATTAATTTAATGAAAATAAGTATCATATGTATATGTAAAAATTAATTTCTTAATAGTGAAGATGATGAGTCATGGCAAAGAGCATTTTGCAAAGTGCATAAATCTATGCATGCATATGTTGCAGATAAAAATGAGACTTCTAGAGTCAGGTTCTATTGAGGTGAACCTTGGCTCTTAAATGCATGCTTGAAACTTGAAAAACAGAAATTTGAATGAATTCATTTACAGTTTATAGTTAGAAAATAAATATAATACTTGTACACTTGGAATTTCACGTTCTTGAAGAAAACCATTAAATTTATCTAAATTACAATAAATTATTAGGTAAATTGATTATATTGTCTGTGATTTAATACTAATTTCCTAAGAAACCATTAAATTGAAGTAATAATTATTGGTCATATATAAAGGGTGAACATGGAAAAATAAATTTATTACTCCTTAAAACCACAAATGTAATAAGTATTTCGAAACAATTTATTTTTTCAAATGTGATAAATATTACGAAATAGAGATAGTTGCTTGTTTTCATTAAACTCGAACTCAATTAATTGAATGCATTCAATAAATGGGCAAATATTGAATGACCTATGTAACACATTACGTGCATTAGCCGTTACGACTATTGCACAAGTACCATTTCTATTTTCCTTTCGGATTGAACTAATTATATATGGATAAACAAATGAGCAATTAGTATTTAGTATGGATAAATCTCTAACAGCCAATTAATTATCACTAAGAAAAACCGGCACAATTATTTTTATTTTTTACCTTTTTTCTCTTAGTAAAAGACATGATATCTTCATTTATACCAACTGGTTCAGTGCAAGTAAATGACATCATAAAAAATTAAAATCAACACTCATTTTACCAACGAGATATTGATTAAGAGGGTAAATGGTCTTAACCTTAAAAACACAAGTTCAATTTCCCGGCAAATGTAATTACTGCGAGAGCCAAAAATCTCCAAATTATGAGAAAAAAAAAAAAAAAGAAAAACGATACTCTTTTTTTAAAAAAATGTTAAAGTTTATGTGTCAATTAATGGGTTTGACATCTTTAGATCCAATGTTAACCTTTTGTAGACAATTTCAATTTTGGGAAAGACTTCAAGAAAAGACATGTACTTATGAAAATTTCTTTCATTCAATTTTGTAACTGTGATCATTTGTTTACCAAGTCATAAACAAAACAAGAATCAACTCAACATGAAATCTCAGAAACTCCATCTAATTTTGTCTTGCGCACTTCTTTCCAAAGGAGAAGGATCCACTTGATATTGAGTGGAGGCAAAGTAAATTTCTTTCACAATTTAAGACAATTAAAAATAATGTGTCCTCACTGAGAAAGAACTACAAAGAAAATACCCATCAACATTATATCATTGTTCACTTATTTTATTATTTTAGTTTTCTTAATTGTTTTTCCGACTATTGCAATGGCAAAGTAATTAACTTCCAAAGTTTTCTTGGTACAAAGAGGAGAGCTCTAAGAGAAATACTACAGTCACAACCTTGGATGAAAATCATGCGATAATCAAAAAGAAATGTCTGAAGGGGATGATCAAACACAAAAGTGTGGCACTAGCAAACCTGGCTAAACTTCAGCACAATAATTAGCTATATAGAAAATTTCAAATTTTTGTGTGAATTAGACTTGCCTAGACATAATTTATAAATCCATCCATATACCAAATCTATAAAAATAAAAGTTTTTTTAAATATTTTTTTTCTACTTTATCTTTGTTTTCCCTGGTTAAAATGATCAAAAATAATTTCGTTTCAATAAAAATATATTTTTCATTGCTTCGGTGAGTCAATTTACTATGCAAAAATTTCAACTTCCCTGTTGCTTAGCTACTATTAGGTATTAGCAGTTTGTTAAACAGTTTATCATGTTGTCTATAATTCATTCAAAGACCAAGTTATTATTAAATTGTTATGTCTCCATTCTTCTACACAAAAATCCACACCTCCCCTCTTAGCAAAGAGCTCACCGATATCTTAAGACTTACGGACTTACATTAAGCCAAGTCACACCAAATAGTTTACCTATTTTGATCGGTTTATCAATACTTGTCATGGGTGTGAACTAAATATGGGGAATAATAAATGAAATCTACAGTTTCAGATTTTGTAAAAAGTATTACCGTCGTCTTTCTGCTCCGGCGGGATTTGATGGAAAAATTACTTTTTTTCCAATTCATTAAAAGATCGAATGAGCTGAAATAATTCGACGGGTTATACAATAAGATAACTCTCTCTTTAACTCGTTGAGTTAATAAAAATTCTTGTGGATCGAACTAAGAAACTCTTATTTCTGACATTAGTGAAAAGACCAACAAAAAAAAAATAGAAAGTTTTACAACTTTCCGATGGCTTTGAGATACCGTGTGGTGGACTGAACCACCTAATGCCCTAATGGGTTAAAAGAGAAACGTCTAACCGAAATCTGCATCTGCAATTGGAATCTCAGGGAATAAGAGAAATTAAGCCCCTTCAAAATGACATGCAACAATATTGTTTTTTTTTTTTTTTTTTTTTTTTGACATTGCAACAATATTGTTTTTTTTTTTTTTTTTTTTTTTTTTTTTTCTAATTTCCAAGGGTGCGCTCCCTCCTCCTGTTTAATTATTAGACGAGAAACTAATGTTTAAAAGCGCCCCTTCCTAGATGAGGGACTAATCTCTTTTCATTCCACGACTCGACCATCTGAGCATCACGATGAGATCTAATGCATTTTAACCACTAGACCAAGCCATTTTGAGTACATTGTTTATTATTTTAACACTAATAAAGGATTATTTTATGAAATTAGTAAACATGCAATATAAACTGAAAATCTATATTCCTAATTACTATAGAAGTCTATTTCTATATTAATGTACCATTTATATGCCTATAAATATGTGTCTTTTCAAAAATATACACGTGTGTGATTTTTATAATTTGATCATTTTATTAAACTACAGTTATGTCCTTGCCTCATTGGTATTAAATACAATCTATAAATAGAATTCCTAATTGAATTTAAATATTTCTAATTGAATTTAAAAAAAACTTTCTTTTTTGTTTTACACAAATATTAAGATATATTTATCCTTTTTTTTTTCAAATTTGTCATCTATTATCATAATAATAAATTTCTAAATTATCTACTCAATTTTCTGCGCACATATATACCATGATTTTTTTTTTAGAAAGAAACCATTAAATATTTTGAACTTAAGCTAATTGAATTTTAAAATTATGATGACAGTTTACACACATTATGAGTAATCATCCAATCTACTGTAAAATTTGATTCTCTGAAAACATGTTGTTCTTTGACTTCTCAATTTTTGATAATCCAATTCTGAATTGCTTAAAACAAAATCTCCAATGGATGTAGTGGGAAATAATGTTAAACCCTTTATATTTTTCATGGCTTTATTTTAGGTTTTTTTTTTTTTTTTAGAGGATGGTTGATTCACAAGTTTTCGTTAGTATATATTATTTTGTTTTAAATTTCATTATTTATTCACATAATTTTATTAGTTTTTATGGGATAAGTAGTATTTAATCTTAATTATTACTTTATTTTTTCTCTCTGATATTTAATTTCATTAAACTGTTTAGTCATTCTATTTAAAAAGTACAATATTTATCATTAAATATATAATAATATTTAACTATTCGGTTCTTCACATTTACCTTTGTTCGGAATAAATGAATCCCACAAATTTTACAGAATTCATTTATAAATCCAAATTTTTGTGTTTGGCATAAAAAAATGAACACTTAAATTTTAATGAATTGAATTTTATGGATAAATATAGCGAAACCAAATTTTTCTAAAAAATGTAAATAAATTCCACAAACTTTAACAACTCAAATCTTTATGATAAAACTATTCATCCTCTTAACTTTCTAAAATTGTTATGTCAATGGTATTTTGGAAAATAAAATCAAATAAATTTTTAATTTTATATTTATTCTAAATATGAAAAATCCATTTATACAAACATTTAATATATATAGTCTCAGTGCTTCCACTCTTAATTTTGAAATTTTTTGGCTTTTTATAAAAAAAAAAAAAAAAATTCAAATTTTTTGGCTTTTTATAAAAAAAAAAAAAAAAAAAAAAAATTCAATTATCTTAAAAAAAAAAAAAAAAAAAAATTCAATTATCTTAATTCTAGAAAAATTAAAGTATTAACTAAATTACTCTTTTATTAATTTATGTAATTAAGAGAAATAAAATTTAGAAAAGGAATCTAGATAAGGTAAAGTTTGAATAAAATAAATTATACTATTTTGATTTTTTAGAAGTATTATATAAATGAAAAACAAAAGTCAAAACTATCAAAATTAACAAAACAAAGATGGTATTATTTAATTTATTATTTCCAACAATATTTAATGACAAAAAGACTGAATTAAATATTTATAAATAATATTTAATTAACAGTAATAGCGTTTCTATGTTAATTTCAATAATTCAATTTTAGCATATATATATAGAGTTATGATTTAATCAGGATAGTCTTATTTGTTAATTGTAGAGCAAAGAATCTTTTATCATAGTGAACCGACTAAATTGCCCTTAACAAATTGAACAAGGATCTTAAACAAAACCAACTAGAAACGATCAGAAAAATACAGTTAAGCAGTTGTGATATTCCAATGCGCAAATAAGCATTGAGTATTAGAGAAATTGTTATGATAAAAATTTTGAGGTAGCTTAATGCTCTGTCGCCCACTAACTTTTTATGTAGTTAAAACACTATCACTGTTATTTATTATTTATACTATTGGTGACCGTATGTATTAGTATTTTAAATTTGAGAAAACGGATAATAAAACGTTATTTTTTTTAACTTTTGATGAAACAGAACAGTAATTAAATGATAGTCAAACAGTCAAACCATTGACAATTATTAAAATCACTAATTTTACCGAGCAAGTTTAAACTCTATCGATCTCCTATGGTTTCACACCACAAAGTTTTTCTCTATGAGAAGCCAAGAATTTTTCCGGTTCAATGTTTGATTCACCGGCTTTTGGTTGAAACATGGAATCGGTATTTTTTTTTTACTATTGTAAATTTGACAGTTATAATCACATTGGTATCATTTATATGCAAACATATTTTTTTCTGAAGGATAAATTGTAACAAATTAATTTTAAAAAGAAAAAAAAAGGTTGCAAAAAGTTGTTTCTGCAGAATTACTCTTGTTGCTAAATTAGCTATCAAAAATAGAACCCTGTACAACCTCAAGCTCAAAGCGAAGAATAAGCCCATCTCAGCCAAGATTGCAACACCCTTAACAAGTACTAGATAAGCACAATGATAATCAAAGATTCAAAATTTCCCATAAAATTGTTTATATTTTTAAAAAAACATATATTGTCTCCAATTGTACTTTTGAATCTTTTCTTTTTTTTTTTTCATACAAATTTAGACTTCGTTTTTTTCAAAACAATCTATTTCTCGAAAAGTATATTTTTCTGAAAAAGTACATTTTCAAGAAAATTATTTTCGGTAAACTATAATTTGAACATGTTTAATATGCAAATTAACTTCTTAGAAAGTAAATTACTTTCAAATTACAAAAAATAATCATGTCTACCGTATAAATTTGGTGTATTTAAATAACAAGATAAACTAGTAAAATTCATCCAACTTAATTAGAGAGACGCAACTTTCTAACTATCTCTAAACAAGTTATTACTTCCTTTGTACAAAGAAAATTGGATAATTTATTTCCCAGAAAGCGAAATTCAATATACAAATTCAGGAAGCAGAATTCAAAATACAAACCAAACTTTATAGTCTCCCTTATTCTACTTACCCCCAATTGATTCTACCATATAACCATAAATTTTCTAGAAATTCAATTATTGGGTTTCTAATTAATGATTTTTGCTTTCTTGTATAATATAAGTTAATTCATAAAGGTTTTTTAAAAAATTGCTACTGTTTTGTATTTTTTTTTCCAATAAATGGTATTTTTTTTCCATATATATAATATGAAAAAAACACTTAAAATGTATATAAAATAACAACATCTTATTGGCTAACCTTGTTGGACAGCAGCACATTAATGTACAATAAAATAAACAAAATTTCATGGAAAATAAATATGCTGTGATGCAATCACTCTATACCTTATTTATCTATCCAAAATATATTAATATTTATAACATTGTCTTGGTTTTTTTTTTTTTTTTTTTTTTTTTTTTTTTATTTTTATCTATCCTAAAATATATTAAATCTTATCAACATTGTCTTGGTTTTTTTTTTTTTTTTTTTTTTTTTTTTTTGAAAATTAAACAATTTAATATTACAAAAAAAAAGAAAAAAAAAAAAATGGAGATTAAAAAAAAAAAGGGAAGCTCCCGAGATAAAGCTAAAAAAAAAAAAAAAAAAATGGAGATTAAAAAAAAAAAAGGGAGCTCTCGAGATAAAGCTTGACGAGCCTCATCCACAATTCAGTTGGATAAGTTGCTATAATCCAAATTAGTTCATCTTCACATATCCCAACAAAAAAAACTACCTATCATCATCCAACATCGACATTTATTCAACTGCCACGTGGAAGAATATTCCAAATCTAAGACTGGGGGCCTATGATGGTATTATACATCCAAAAACATTGTAATACAATAAGGGTATTTCGGTAAGAACTGCAGAAATGTAAGAACAATATTGGATGACCGTGGATTGAAAATTCATGATGGTGGTTATTTCTTGGGGGCAAAAGGACTCTACCACACCTACAATTTAAATCAATCAAAATAAACAATCTTTCGAAAATTTCTATAAAGAAAGGTATTTAAATAGAAAGATTGAGATATGGGTAGAGCATTTGTTTATGTAATTCTTGGAGGAGGGGTTGCAGCTGGATATGCAGCTCTTGAATTCACAAGAAAAGGGGTCTCGCCTGGCGAACTCTGTATAATTTCTGAGGAACCTGTGAGTAAAATAACAAAAATCTTTTTTTTTTTTTATTTAAAGAGCTTATTGTATTCATTTCATTAATGGGTATTGATTTTTTCCTTTTCTTTGTTTGCTGTTTTTTATGATTCTGCAATTGTTTTTGTTCTTTCATTTGGTCAACCGTTCAAATGTGTTTATATTTAAGTTAGATTATGAATAAGATGAAACCAGATGAGATTATGGCTTCAGAGTTTTATGAAATTCACATATTTGTCATTGCTTTTGTATTGTATGTTACATAGTTACTTCCTTTTTTTTTCCTTTTTTTTATTTGTTTTTATTACTTGGTAAATTAATGTTTGCTTGTTACTTCAAGTAATTTAACTACAGGTTAGTAAAGGTGACCTTTATTTATTGTTTTTTTAAGTTTCTTCTAAAGGAATATAGGTCAATGAGGAAATTTAATTCGGAGTCTAAATCTTAATGCCTTGCTGGTGGTTTTGCCTAATAACTATAGCAGCCTGATATCTTGTTATTATACTGTTATATGGAAGGAAGGTAAGTTGGATCAATTATTTAGTTTTCAGGATGTAATTGTGTGATTTAATTTTGGATAATGCAAGATAATGTGCATCAGCATGTCCTTTAACAGTATGTGAAGTCATTTTCATTAGAGGCATAGACAGAGATAAAACTATAGAAGAATCAAATACAAACGTTGGAGACAGGACATGAAACTGCATTGCTCTTGTATTTCCCAGCTATTGAGCTTAGCTTTTATGTGTATGTGTGTTGTTTATGGCTATTTCTCTGGGAAAAAGAAAAGATTTTTAAACTTCCATTCATTTGCAAATTTTTACAATTTCTGCATGGTTTCTGCAGGTTCCACCTTATGAGAGACCTGCACTGAGCAAAGGTTATTTACTTCCAGAAGGTAAATAGTCTTCATCTTTATAGTCCACAAACAGGCTCTTTCTTAGACACTGTTTCTTAATGTAAGTATTTACTTAGCCTAGAGGATAAACAAATTCCTGATTTATGCTGGCACCACCAAAACTTGGCCAAGTAATATAGATGTTGCAATTGGGACGTGTCAGGAGTCACCGGTTGGTAATGTGATGGCATGAGAACTACTGGTTTGTCCGCCTGATTTAATGTTTTGGAGTCTGCAACTGAGTTAGAAAACTAATTGCTGATGACTTATTGCTTTGTGCTCTTTTCTTTTCCTTTCACTTCATCATTTATATTAATAGTGGAAACTTGTCATGACATGCGGATCCTGCACGCCTACCGTCATTTCACACTTGTGTTGGAGCTAATGAGGAAAGGCTGACTTCAAAATGGTACAAGGAACATGGTAATTCTTCCTTTTTTTTTTTCATTTCTCTTTTAGAGCCTATCGCAAATAAGGATTGTACAATGCTGCATTTCTTCTGCGGAGTACTTATTTCCCCATATGTGTTTCTTCTATGGGCACGCTAACAGTTTCTTGATCTTTCTTTGTTATTGTGATCAATATCATGGGCTTATGGCTTGTTTGATACTTTCTGTATTCTAGTTATAAGGAGATGGTTACAAATTTAAGTGGTCAGCAGATTGTAATGTTGAATATTGGCTTTCAATGCATTAACAGTTACATATAGAAAGTACTGTTAGCGCAAAAAAATATATATATATATAACGGAAAAATTTAGGTTGGGAATATCAGGGTAAAGCTACACGATATTTTTCCTTCTAATTCAAAACTTTTGGTTGGTTGCTCTTGTACCTGCCTAGCTAATTGGATCTAGCGGGACTGTTATGTTATTTCTGAATGGTTTGGTATTAGGAAAAACCTACCTGTATGTGCAGTCACACTACTTGTAACAAGGGTAGCGTAATGGTTTGTGATTAAATCTACAACGTTGTACTTCTTTGTTGGTTAATAAGGTGAACTATTAGTTTTATCATCTGGGATCTCTTTGTGCTCAATATTTTTCACGAACAAGTGCTTTTACTGATGAAGGCTAACATATGTTGGAAGAATCTTATGGAACCTTCTGTTACTTAAGCTATTATGTAGAATATCTTGTTACACCAGTAGAAATGAAGGGTATTCTTTGTCCTCCAGTGTAAGAATATCCTGATCTTCAATTACAGACTCAAAACTTGTAGAGGGACATGTTGAATCTATAACGGCAATATTTGTGGAGTAATGCCTAATAGATATTATTGAGACAATGTTATTAATTAAATAAATTATAAGAAAATTTTGAAAAATGCTTCAAAAAAATGTAATTTTAAACTTAGTAAACAATTTAAAAGGGTAAAACAAAAAGTTAAAAACAATATAAGTTTAGACTAAATATTTCTCTCTTTTCTTTCCATTTTACTTTTTAGATTTTTAACTTTTAAAGGAAAGTGTTTTTAAAAAAAAAAAAAATCTTAAGTATATCATGCAGTAAAATATTATTGAGACTTTTAGAAATGTATAAAATAGGCTAAGTGATTATTATTTTGAAAATAAAAATAGAAAATTTTACTAACTGCAGCTGGAGAGACTATAAGCTACAAGATTCTTATCATTGCAACAGGTGCTCGGGTATTGCAACTGATCTTTTTTCTTTTAGTGCTATTTTGTTTTAGATAATTTGGTGACATTGTTAGTGCCTTTTCAAACACAAAACAGGCATGTTTTTTCACTAGGAAAATTTCAGGAATTACTATTAATTACGTTTTTCACCAGAAAAGAGTTTGGTTGGGAGAATTTCACTTTGCAAATGGATAACTAAAGGTGACTTGGGAGTACAAGACGTTCTCTTAGATCTCATCATATCCTAATAGAATCGCATGATGTTTCCGGTGTTTTTGTCTTCACTTCTGCTATGGTTTTGAAATATATATATACATGTGAGTGCGTGTATAGTAACTAACATTGAGGATGATCAACTTCTTTTGGTATTTTCAGAATTTCATTGAAATAATACAAGTTTTACATAAAATTATTTGCATTGTCAATTAATAAGGAAATAATTGCTAGCTTTAATTAATTTCACGTGCGTAAGTGCAGGCCTTGAAGCTTGAGGAATTTGGAGTGAGTGGATCAAATGCTGAAAATGTTTGTTATTTAAGAGATTTAGCTGATGCAGACAGGCTTGTTAACGTCATGCAATCTTGTACTGGTGGGAATGCTGTTGTCATTGGTGGTGGCTACATAGGAATGGAATGTGCGGCATCCTTGGTGATCAATAAAATAAATGTTACTATGGTTTTCCCTGAAGCACATTGCAGTAAGCTCTCTTAAATCTAAATACTGCCTTTGGTTTTATGTTCTAAGACTGCTTTCCTAGAAGGAATCTTTTAAATTAAAAGGTATAACTACAGTATGGTGATTGAATTGTTATATTTTGTCACCACAGAAATGATTGTTTACTCGAAGTTCTTTCCTGCAATGCTTTCAATTGTTGTGATTGAATTGTTGGGTTTTCCTGAACCTCTTGTTTTAATTTGGACATCATAGCAAACTAACAATACATGGTTGATGATTTTTGCACTTTCCAGTGGCCCGCTTGTTTACACCGAAGATTGCAAGTTATTATGAAGATTATTACAGATCTAAAGGAGTAAATTTCATCAAGGGCACTGTCTTGTCATCTCTTGATATGGATTCCGATGGAAAGGTAAATCATACATGTATATCTTAGTGCTTAACAATCTTGAGAGATTGCAAGAAGTTGGATGATTTTCTAACATGTATAGTATAGGGAGTCGGGCAACAATTGTCTTTGTGCTTGAAGTTAAATTTCTTAGAATCAAATGGCTATTATAGTTTTTTCTAACCCTATAAAGGTAGAGGCATGGCATGCTAGCATATAAACTGTCAGATAAAACTGAGCTCTAATAATTCATTTCTACAGGTTACAGCTGTGAATCTTAGAGATGGAAATCAGCTACCAGCAAACATGGTTGTGGTAGGAATTGGAATACGTCCAAACACAAGCCTCTTCGAGGGCCAACTTACTTTGGAGAAAGGTGGGATCAAAGTGAATGCGCGAATGCAAACAAGCAACAACTCAGTCTATGCAGTTGGAGATGTTGCAGCATTTCCTGTCAAACTGTTTGGTGAAATTCGTAGACTTGAGCATGTTGACTCTGCCCGAAAATCAGCAAGACATGCTGTTGCTACAATAATGGAACCAAATAAAACAGATGACTTTGACTACCTACCCTTTTTCTATTCTAGGGTCTTCACTTTGTCTTGGCAGTTTTATGGGGACAATGCAGGGGAAGTAGTGCATTTTGGCGATTACTCAGGAAGTACGGTTGGGGCTTACTGGATAAACAAAGGTCACCTTGTTGGGTCTTTCCTTGAAGGTGGAACAAAAGAAGATTATGAAGCTATAGCCAATGCCACAAGGCTTAAGCCGGCCATCAATGACTTGACCGAGCTGGAAAAGCAGGGTTTGGGCTTTGCATTGACAGTTAGTAAGAAGCAGCCAACATCTCCGCCCGACAATGTCAGTGGTTCTAGCTTAATTATAGACAAACCAGTTTATGCTTGGCATGCAACGGCGGGTGTTTTTGTGGCTGCATCAATAGCCGCATTTGCATACTGGTACGGAAGGAGGCGTAGGAGGTGGTGAAGAAAGTTTCTAATGTAGTTGAATTGTGTAATACCATGTGTTGTAGCATTGAAGGTATATAGGTCATTTGGGATGATATCTCTTATATGTTTTATTCCCAATTTACTCTAATATATCGCTCAATGAAAAAAAGTAAATATCCTGTTTATTGCTTTAAGTTGTTGTACTGTAATTCTTTTACCAGCATTCGTGTCTAATACAAGAGAACTGACTCGTCCCAAACGGGGAAATGAAGCCATATATTATGTTGGATTGTGAAGAGCAACTGCAATTTAAGCAGACTACACCGATATATGAATTGCGGTAATTACAAATGCAAATTAAACTCATTGAACTTTTGGATCCAAGGTCTCCATTTCAGTCTTCTAGCTAAGGGCTATTGCTATGAGTGTGAGGTGGAAAAACCCAAAATATATTTATATTAATACCAAGCAGGGCATTTGGTCTAGTGGTATGATTCTCGCTTTGGGTGCGAGAGGTCCCGAGTTCGAGAAAACTCACATGTCTTGTTTAATTTTTCAGGAAGTAAGTTTCTCTTTAATTCAGTTTAAGCTATGTTTCTTCGCCGTAGGGCTATAAAGAAGTTTTCCTAGTTCCATACTTATTTTGCTATGTAATTATTTGTATAAGAAGCTATGTATATCAAACAGTTAGTGACTCCGCAGTTATAGAATTTACGTACATTTAGTCGTGTATTAACATAGACGAAATAATTCTGTGAGCCCATATTAGAGATGTGATGTATTGTAAATTAGGCCCGAACTGTGGAATGTTGTAGAAGATAAACTTGGGCTGAGATATAATAAAATCTTGAGGTTTATTTTTCATAGTCATAAGGGCTGAATGTTGAAATTTATATTGAGATAATAGATTCTAGTGTTTTAGGCTATGGGATGATGATGGATAACAAGCTTCACTTGTCAACTCTGCTACTGATACAAGTGTCTGCAGGTATCCGGTTTCTAACGCTCAAAAACTTCTTTAACATGATTGGACAAGTCTCTAAAAACATTTTCTTGGGGAGCAAAATGCTTGCGTTGGTTCCTTGCTGCAATGGACAATCAGCAGCAGGAGAAGATGATTCAGAATACTATCCTGCAGTACTCCATTATGTTTCAGCAAAAGAAGCATTCTGCACAAATCAAGAAAAAAGAAATCATGTGAGTTTTGAGTTGTTTTAGGTTATCAGATCTGCATATATGAGAGAGGCAGGGAAGCAGATGCTGAGATAAGTTCAAAGCGATATAACGACACATTTTATTTTAATTATTGAATAGGATTTTAACAAGAAATTCAAAGAACTATGGAAAAGAAAATCATGTTCACTGGAAGCAGCCTACTTGAAAAAAATCCATTTCAGAGTTTACAGGAATAATAGACTAGGACACCCTAATGCAAATATTGCTTATTCTTACATAAATAATTCAATATATGTGGTTTGAAATTTCCACTACCAATGTCAAAACCTCAATTGTCATTTGCGCGATTTCTCCAAATATGAAAAGAAACAGCTATTTAAAAACATATCAGATTTCATGCATTAAACTAGCTCACCTAAACTGAAATTGGAGCTTAGAAGGTCCGTTGAAACATGCAGTCCCTTAATTTTAACTGGCACATAGGCCCTGCACATGGCAGCCTTTCGAGAGTTTCACAAATAGAACACATGATAGATTCTTCACATAGGAAAATTTGGCATCATTCCACAAGAAGTTTGTCTTTGTCTAGGGACATAGATTTCGATAAGCCATGGATCATGTGCTTGAAAGTAAGACCATTTGGCGTAACTCCCACTTTCAGCATCCTATCTTGCAGATACAGCAACTTGGTAAAATCACCATCCTCACAAGAGATTTTGACAAGTGTGTTGTAACTCTCAGTATCAAAAATTTGAAATTCCTTGGCAAAGAATTCCAATAGCGACTCTGCTTTTCCAAAATCCCTTTCCTTGCAGTACATATGCGTCAATGCTCTGCATATTTCTGGATCGGGCAGCATATCAGATTGAAGCATTTCTTCCATCAATGATTCAACCTCTCTCCTTCTACTCATTCTACACAAACAACATAAAAGAGCTTTATATCCAGTAACATTGGGTTTTAAATTCCTATGTACCATCTCAGCTTTTAAAAGCAATGCATCAGCCACACAATCACTTTTGCAGAAAGATTGAATGAGTTCATTGCAAATTTCTGCACCAGGCACATAACCCTGCTGACAGATTCTTTCCAAAAGATTCTTTGCTGCAAATGGTTTATCCTCTTTACATAAAGAAACTATTAAATAATCATAAATATCCCAAGAAATTGGAACACCAAATCTCTCAAGTTCCACAACCAAATTCAAAGCTGAAACTATTCTACCCTGTTTTGCATATCCTTCTACAAGAACTCGACAAGTAACATTATCTGGACGAATCCCACTTCCTATCATCTCATGTAATAACAATCTTAACTCGCGAATCTTCCCCTCCTTGCAATAACCACAGATAAGAGTATTAAATGAAACAATATCTGGATTCAACCCCCTATGAACCATTCTATGGAAGAGCTGGTGAGCGTCTCTTAACCTCCCTTCTTTGCAAAGACCACTCATCAACGCAGTATATGAAACCAAATCTGGCAACACACGCCTTCTATACATTATCCTATATAAATAAAATGCATCATTCAATCTTCCTTTTCTACAGTAGCAACTAATCAATGTATTATATGTCACTATATCTGGCTCAAATCCTTCTTCCTCCATCTTCTCAAGGAAATCATTCACTTTAGTGACATCACCATCCCGACAAAAAACATGAGTTAATATATTAAATGTATATGAATTCGGGTGTATCCCAACTTTCCCCATCTCTATATAAACTTGCCAGCACAAATCAATGCAATTCAGTTTCAACAATCCATTCAAAACACTATTGCAAGCAACCACACTAGGAACATACCCAACCTCAACAATCTTCATAAACGTACTAAAACCCTCTTTAATCAAACCCTCTTTCACATATGCCTTGATAAGCATATCAAATATAACAGGATCCCAATTACAATCTTCGCAGCACAAAACTAAACTTTGAAACACATCTTCACTAGATGCACAATCTTTAACCAACCTGATCAATTCAGTTAAAAATTTCATTGCTTGTTTGAATTCCCTCGAACAAGCTAAGATATGAACAAGAAGACAATAATTATGAGTAGAGGGCTTAATATCCAAATCATTTTTGACCCAGTTAAAGAAAGCAAGAGCTGAAATAGAATCAGATTGACATCTCAATAAAACCCTAGAAATTTCATTGGTACCCAGATGAGCAAGGAGCCCCTTTATGTCATTTTGGAGAATTGCTAACTGGGTATTGTCTTGTTTGAGAAAGGAGTAAATGATATTGACAATATTATTAGGGTTTTGGGTTCTAGGAAGGAGATGGTAAAGAGGATTTGAGAGAGATTTGGAGCTGGGATTGGAAATTATATCAAGATCAGAAGAAGAGAAGGAGTAAGGTGATTGAGGTATGAAATGGTAAAGGAATGGTTTTGAATTAATGGGTACATTACATGTAAAGATAGTTGAATTTAAAAGGATCTTGATCCGATCTCTATTCATCAGTTGTAAACTATAATGAGAAAGTAAAGACAGAAAACGAAAGAGAAACCATCCTTGACGTGATTTCTTATAAGCTTAAAAAGGCCTTGTTACCAAAAAAAAAAAAAAAAAATCTTCCAAAAAAAATTCAGGAAGTAATTTTAAAATAGACTTTTACTGTAGTCCAGAATTCAGAAGTCTGTATAGGCAGAGAAGTTTTTTTGTTTTTTTTTTTTTTTTTTACCAAAAAAAAAAAAAAAATCTTCAAAAAATTCAGGAAGTATTTTTAAATAGACTTTTTACTGTAGTTCCCCAGAATCAGAAGTCTGTATAGGCAGAGAATTTTTTTTGTTTTTTTTTTTTTTTTTTTTTTTTTTTTTTTCTTTTCCTTTTGTATATGAGTATGTTTTTTCTTTTAAGAGAACTTTCTTCTTCGTAAATCATCTTATATAAAAAATATTATACTCCTTCCCTTTCATTTTATTTATATAGTTTAACAAAATAAATATATTAAACATTTAGTTAACAATAATTATTTTATCATTCTTTCACTTTTTAATTCATTGAAAATATTAATAAAAATCTCTTACTTAACGAAAGATTGCAAATGTTATAATAGAAAAAATAATTATTTATATGTCTAAATTTAAAATTTTTACAAATATTTTGGGACATCGAAAACAGGGATGGTGGGAGTATATCATAATTTTTAAATATATTTATTTTTTATTATTTTTAAAATTATTTTTTTAATCCATTCAAATTTATTATTTTTCTCTATTCTTTCTCTCTATGAATTATTCTTTATTTATTTTAATAATTTATTTGATGAAATTTAACTTTGGACTAGATTTATCAATTGGGCTAGAAATCATCTGCACCTATTCCATAAAGTTTAATTGAAAACTAACCCAATGTTAGATTTTAATATAATTAATTATTTATTTTGAATTTTTAACTATAAATAATAATTGATTTAATATTTATAATTTAAAATTATGGTGTGGATGATTGTGTAGAACAGTAGAAGCTTGGAATTGCACTTTGCATATAAGCCTGAGCAATTTTGTGAAGGTAATAAGTTTAACGAGAGAGAGGAAATTATGGTTAAATATGTGCCACAAATCGAATTGTTACCGTTTTTTTTTTCTTACAAATTTTAATTCTCTGAAAATTTTTCCAAAGATACGAAGCACCTAATTAATTAATTATATATTCATGTTATTTTTTTAAGATACAGATGAGGTTAAAAAAAAAAAAAAAAAAAAAAAAAAAAAAAAAAAAAAACACAACCTGTCGTACTTATATTCATGTTAGTCGTACTTATATTCATGTTATATTTAATTTTACCTACTTAGTCATACATTAAAAATGATTTACTAATTTAAAAAATCTATATAGTTATCGAATTTATAATACATTATTTTTGTTAATTATTTGAGATATTGGAGTAAAATTAAATATTATTTCTTTTATGAATCAAATGCAGTTCAAATATATAGTAGAGGTAGATGAGAGACTACCAGTAGATTTATTGGCTTGAAAAGATAATAATAATATCATATCTTATACACCAAATCTCAGTTAGCATGTTATTGAAATGGCGGGTAATTAACAGATGTTAACCAGAAAAGTGCCAATTACATCTTCAGCTACTGATCTTTAGCTAGCTATCCAGATAAGGTCCATGCAAATGTAGCAATTTTCGATAATGGTTCAGTAGACATGAGCCTTATAGCAAGTAACAATAACAGTGAGACTATAGAAAGATTAATGCAATAAAAAATAAATAAAAGTTGGAAAATTGGAGTGGAGATCAATAAAACAAAACCACAAACAAGAACAAACACAGCAGAAATTAGCAAATAGAAAATATAATTTCGTGAGAAGATGGGATTTCGTTTTTGATAACTGTCGTTTAATTTTTATATTTTGATCATAATAAATTATTCATCCATAAATTTTGAATCCTTTAAATTGTAAGTCCTTCTAATTAAAAAAAAAAATAGTATTTTTGTCTTAAATAGGGAGGGAAAGAACTCTACATTTCCTGGATAATCAAACTATTATTTAGAACTACAATAGACATTATTAACATTGTTTATAAAAAAAAATATTTAGTTAATTGAAATCACTGAGATTGTTAAATTTGTTGTTCTCAAATCTAATGAAAGAAAAAGAGAAATAAATAAAACAATATAAAACTGAAATTTATCAATTGGTAAATAAACTCTAGGTGGGATGGACACCACAAAAAAACAAGTAATAAGCCTCAACATAATTTCAAGTATCCAAATATACTTTTTCTCCCTGTAAATGCTTTTTTTTTTTTAAACTTCTCTCCACTATTTTTATGCTATAAAAACCATTTTTTCCATTGACAAGATGGTGTTGAACGGTGAAAAAAAAATGTTTCAAGATTCAAAAACAAAATTATTGTGAAGTTAATGTTCGGAAAATAATGAGAAATATGATTTTTAATATGAAAAATGGTGAGAATAAAGATAACAGAATCGCTTTATTGGGTTTTTGTTTATGAAGCACACTAAATTCAAATAGTTTTTGTTTTAGTTTTACAAAGTCCTTAACAAAGATTGTATAATTATATCTAAAATTAATTCTTAACCAAAAATAAATCTTGGATGTGTCATTGTGTTAATTAGACCTCTTAGGGACTAAATAGAAATTTATCTTTTTTAATCTAACCAACTTTACTACTCAAATTGTCCACAAAGTGCCTAAATTACTAATTTGAAATTTTCTAAATTGGACACTTGTTTTGGGATGAAAGTGAAAGTGTTTGAGGATTTGGAATTCTTGATGATTTGTATTGATGTACAAGACCCTTTAAATAGGGAGAATACAAACAGAATATGGAAAAAATAGGGGAGAATACAAACAGAATATGGAAAGGAATTACAGAGATTTAATTACAGAAGAAATAATTGTAATCTGTTCCTAAATCAGAGGAATGATCTGTGGAGGATATTCATGTGGAGATATCATCGGCTAAGACTCCCCCGCAGTTTGAGCGGGCGGAGGACAGACGCTCAAGCTGGATCGAAATGACTGGAACAACTGTCGAGATAGGCCTTTGGTGAAGATGTCAACATATTGAAAAGCAGATGGGACATGTGAGACCCGAATGTGGCCTATTCAAACTTTCTCCCTTGCAAAGTGTATGTCGATCTCAATGTGTTTTGTGCGTTGAAGCTAGACAGGATTGTCAGACATATACACTGCGGAAACATTGTCACAGTATACGACGGAGGCCTGCTGAAGTGGGAGGTGTAATTTCAGAAGTAAATTGCAAAGCCAGGTGGTCTCTGCAACAGCATTGGCTACTCCTCTATATTCTGCCTCTGCACTAGATCGTGAGATAGTAGGCTGCCGTTTTGAAGACCATGAAAGACCATTGAAATCAAATTATCACCAAGGAAAACACAGTAGCCACTAGTTGATCTTCGTGGAGTTTCTGGCATCCACCTCAATTCGCGTCTTGAGGTATGCTACCAAGGTATGGTATTGTCGTGCCAATTCTTATACCGTAGTCAACTGAATGCCTTGTAAATATCGGATTATCTTTTGAGGAAAATGATAGTGTTGGATCCGCGGTTCATGCATGAGAGCATATTGGTTGAACGCATATTGGATATATCTGGGCGTGTTGAATGTTGAGATTACTGGTAATGCCCGCCAGCGAAGCTGCGGTTATAATGTTTGGATCATGGGAAATTAGAGTCCATCAGAAGCAGCTCGTTTTGATGATAGAATCGACTGGGGGGCACACGGTTTGCAACGAGGGACAACACGGTTTGCAAGAGGACATTGAAGCTCTAGAGATGATATCCTTTGTGTATTGAGACTGATCCAAAAATAACCCACCAGATGTCCGTGTCACTTTGATTCCCAGGAAATGATGCACCCGGCCCAAATCTGTCATTGCAAACTCGCGTAAGAGCATGCGGATAATATTCTATAATAACTCATTAGAAGAGGCAGTGAGCACTATATCATCAACATACAGAAGTAAATAAGCAAGTTGATTTCCCTTTGAGAAAATGAATAGGGAATTGTCACACACACTGCTGCGAAACCCATGAGACAGCAGATGGGTTGCAAATCTGGTGTACCATGCCCGTGGGGCCTGTTTGAGCCCATAAAGAGATTTTTTCAATCTGCACACAAAATGAGGGTATCTTCTATCTGTGAAACCCAGGGGTTGATGCATAAAAACAGTTTCATTTAAATGCCCATGTAAAAACGCATTTTTGACATCCAACTGGTGTATTGGCCAAAAAGAACGGAAACTGCAATGGATAAACAAACGTCTGTTATAGTACGCGGGTTCACTTACGGGACTAAAAGTATCGTCACAATCAATGCCCTCGTTTGAGATTTGCCATTTAACCACCAACGTGCTTAGTTTGTACCTTAAGTGACCCAGAAGTGACCCATCTGATTTAAATTTGTGACGAAAAAGCCACATACACCGAATGACTGGTCGGTCAGGAGGGCGAGGCACGAGTTCCCATGTATCATTTTCCTGCAAAGCACGAAACTCAGCCTGCATAGCTTTTAACCAATGAGGGTCAGAAAAAGCTTTTGCATAAGAGGTGGGTATTGGTGAAATTGAGGTGGTCATAAGGGCATGGTGAGCTTTGGAGCGGGTGGTCATTGGATGGGTATTCTGTGCGGGTTTTGATACAGCGGTGGTCTAAGTGTTGGGATTTTGTGAGACAGGTGCAGCAGTGTGTTGGGGTGTCGTAGCATTGGCCACTGGGTTAAGGGGCTGTTGTTTATGGCGGCGAGTGTATATTTATATTAGCGGTTATCACTACGGGACTAAAGTATCGTCAGCAGTCAATGCCACCGTTTGAGATTTGCCATTTACCACCAAAACGTGCTTTTGTACCTTTGAAGTGACCCATCTGATTTAAATTGTGACGAAAAAGCCACAACCGAATGACCGGTCGGTCAGGAGGGCGAGCCACGAGTTTCCCATGTACATTTTTCCTGCCAAAGCACGAAAACTCAGGCCTTGCATAGCTTTTAACCAAGAGGGTCAGAAAAAAGCTTTTGCATTATAAGAGGTGGGTTATTGG